CAACTCGGCCCACTTTACAAAAATATATATAACGTATAAACTTTGCTTTGCATGTTGTTAAGGTAAACGAATGATAAGAAATATCTTATTAAATTATATTATTATAGTATACATTGTACATCTGCCCGAAATAAAGTATATTTAGAAAAAAAAGTATATTTAGAAAAAAGATGTGTTTCCTTTGATGCATTTTGTTTGTAAAGTAATATTATTATCCCTAGTTTGGGGCGATTAAATGTCCGATTTTAGAATTTATTACATCAATTAAAAGCTGGTGATCTTAGCTTTCTCTCAGTATATATTTCAACACATTCTTTGACACTGAAGATATTTAATTTTACGGTTAAACCTACCATGAGTCAGAAATACAGTGAGATACGCAATCGGTTATCTTTACTCGCAATTCTACCGATAAGAAAAGCCTGTCTGCTGCTAGTTCGGAAACTGTCAATCCAGGTATTATAAATAATTACAATAAATAGTGATAACACAAACCTATAAATATTAATACTTGAAAAGTGGGCCGAGTTGACCCGTGCCGAGTTGGAATAGGGCCGAGCTGACTCGGGGGCCGAGTACGTTTTAGGGCCGAGCTGACCCGGATTCTGATTTTTGGATCCAGTGGTCCGGCATACCACTAGCTTAAGGTCTTCAGCGTACACTTTTATATACTATGACATGACGTGAACGCTGAAGATAACCCCGTAGGGAAAGTCCACCAATAATCGTGCCAGGAATCTGACACGCTCGTATTTATTCATCGAACATGCCATGAAGTAAAGTGAAGCATACCTTGATAAAACTATATATAATCTGTTGATAAGCCAAGGATGGACAAATAAAAATCTTATTACGAACATAAACTACCTAATAGTTTCCGACAGGTAAAAATTTCGGCACTTGGCCGCCATATTGCCAAAATGTTTGACCACGTGATTACGAGATTGACCTTTATGAACCCATGTGCCTCCAATATTTTTATAAATTACTTTTTTAAAGATATTGAAAAGGGTGATTTACTGACTTTTATATTCAATAAAATCATATTTAAGTACTAAAAAATTAATGAAAATAAATAAAAACATTATCTTGAATAAAAATATCGAAATCATGTCAACAAAATGTTCTAAATATAGTACACGACTCTATTCAAATCTGTTCCCGCGAATGACGTCATACGAGGTCTCGCGTGGCACCTGAATGTCATGGCCGACTATAGTCGGCGTAAATTGATGTTTTACAGTTAAATAGGCAATTTTAATGACAGTATTAATATTTTGATACTTTAATTGGTATAGAACGATATTAAAATAGTTGTTTTATCGTAAAATACACAAGAATTGATTGGGTCAAGTGTATTTGCAAGTGAAAAACAAGAATAAATCAACCTATGTTATTCTGGTTAGGTTTCGTAACGGGTCTAATCCAAAACTTTAATGCCGCATCAGATGAAAATCAAAAATGTTAAATAGCGGCTTATAAAGTTTTGGAAGCCAGAACTAGCATACCACCTGCTGAAAAAGTTAGTGTCGAGACCTGACCGGTGTCATCAATAGTGTTTTAAACTGTTGCCCTCGGTCTAGGGCCTTGGGCAAAAGTTCAAAACACTAACAGTGTTTTTAACAATTCAAATGTTTAAAAATTACAGATCTTAACTGCTTAAGTAGCAAAAAAGTTGTAAAATTTAACAAGGATTAACAGAGATTCAACAACTGTTTAACATGAATTATTGAAAATACTGATGTAACATATACATAGGCATTAATGCTGATCATTTATTTTTCATGTCATTTAGAATTTTACCTGAGATCTGTTGATTTTAATCAATATACTTTTATTGTTTACACATAGCAATGGGTTGCCGGTGCAGACATAAATTTGTGACCACTACATAGGCCAAACACTACTAAATATATTCTATCACCATAATATCTCTATTTAAATTTCAGATTATTCGGGAAACGGCATTATGGCACTTGTTAGAAAAAAAGGAACTTCAAAGTTTTAAAGTTTCAAAGTAACATGGCCAGCGATTGGCTGAAAAAAGTGCAGAGTCAATAGTCGGACACACAGGCGCTAGTCACATAATCAAATATTTTACATAATCGGTCTATATATGTATATAAAAGATAGTCACATAATCAAATATTTTACATAATCGGTCTATATATGTATATAAAAGATATATCTTTATATACATATATAGACCGATTATGTAAAATATTTGATTATGTGACTAGCGCCTGTGGAATAAACCCTGGTTGTAACGGATTTATCAATTCATCACAATGCAAATGGTAATATATATGTTTAAACACAATTCTTTCTATGACCATCCCAAATGCAGCTTATTAAGTACAATGTAACATATAAGTCTTTATAATTGGAGGTCACACTTTTTAAATAGGGGCATAACTTCTGCATGTTTCCAGGAACTTTGATATGACTCTTCATGTAGTGATCTATTAAAATGCAAAAAGAGGATAACGGCTACAAACTGTTTCACGTTTCTTTTAAAATTCGCTGGCTAATTTCGTCAGGCCCTGTTGCTTTCATTAAAGTCAAGTTTGCAAGAATATCCTTAACCCCTTGAAACTGGATAGTGAAATTGGGTAATACATGTACTCCGTGAAAATGGTATTGTACGTCCGTGCATATATTAAATATTAAATTCGTGTAAGTTCATTACTGAATTTATTGAACTCGTTGAATAAAATATTATACTCGGCTTAGGCTCGCATAATATATTTTCATTCAACTCCTGAAATAAATTCAGTAATAAACTCATTTAATACTCTATTACATAATTACAGTGCAGGACGTGTTCTGGCCTAAGTACTTTGAAGCAATCGATCTTGCCATGGCCAGTGTTAAAGAGAGATTTGACCAACCGGGATATCGCGTACTTCAGAATGTGGAGGATTTACTTATTAAGGCCGCACAACCTTTGAAGACCGAGTTCACAAGAAAACTTGTTTTTGTTTGTGATTTCTATGGCAACGATATCAACCGAGACATCTAAGAGGTACAGCTTCAGCTGCTACGTTCACATTTTGACAAATCAGAAAATAGTACTGTTACTATAGCTGACGCTTTGAAATTTGTGTCAAAACAGTCGGGGCTAGAACGAGCACTGTTCTCTGAGGTCGTTGTGTTGTTAAAGATTTTAAATTGTTAGTAATGCCTGCTATTAATGCTACCAGTGAAAGGAATTCTCGGCGCTCAGAAGAATAAAGACATACCTGAGATCGATAATGTCTCAAGTACGCTTGAATAATCTTAGGGTGTTACATATTCATAAGTACAGGACAGATTCACTCAACCCACGTGTAATTGCCGATGGGTTCATTTCCACCAGAGAACGAAAGCGATGTGTTTTTGGAAAATTTACATAAAAATGAGACTCTGTGTTTTGTAAGATTATTGTGAACAAAATAAAAGTTACTGCTAAACAAAAGGCGGTTATTGTTGACTCGTAACGTACTATTCTTCCATCATGGCATTGATTGTTATTTAAGCTTATACCATTGTGTAATTTATGTTAAACAATAATCCACATACTGTAATATTTCCTGTATTTGTTTATTTATAATTATCAGATAAAATGCATCTAAGAATTATAACAACATCAGTTATTGTTTATTTTACATTTGCCAAATATCAATGACATGTATTCATCTTTTATGTACACCTGCCCGTTGACATATTACTATAACATGTACTGGCGACAAGCTGTAAACTGTGCCAAATATACAGGAAAACGCCCCTGAGAGCATCCTAGATAAAAAATTTTCCCGTTAAAAAATGCCCCCGTACCCCCTAGATTCTGGCTAAAACCTACCAAATTGGCCGCATTAATCACAAAAACGTGACGCGGGCCTGTAATGTGACATTAACCTCATCAAATGAAGTTGGAAATGCCGTTGCAAATGATATTAAATTTATCTTTATCACATTTTATTAACATTTTAACGATGTTCATTTCATTTTTACGGTTGAACAAGTGGTGTATTATTTAAAAACCTTGTCCTCTATTTCTCCGAGTGTCATTATATGTGTCTGTTCCTACAGGATCGTTGATTGCAATATACAGTTAAAGCGTTTTTGATTTGACATTCTTCCTCTTCATCATCATCATCATCATCATCATCGTCATCATCATCATCATCATCATCATCATCATCTATTATATTCTATTATCACTACTGTCACATCAGGCCGTACAAACTTGCCCCGTACATTCAGTCAGAGATGATATATTTCATATCCTTCAATATCGTTTAGAACGACATATTGTTTTTGTGTTTGTGGTACTGCAAGTTCCTCCTAGTTGATTTTTTTCTGTTTTGGTGGCTCCAGTATTCTTACTTGAATACTGTATAATATCATCCTAATTAAGGATTTGTTGCCTGCTTTTTTAATTTGGCTTTTGACAGCTTGTCTATGATATGCAGGTTTCATGATCTCCAATCACCTTTTAAAATTCCATTTTATTAAGTTTCGTTCATTGTTTAGTATAGATAACATTTTTTTCTGGGAAGGGCGCCTTAATCTAATATGTTGTCCAAACCATTTATTTTTTATGACATACTTCTCATTTGCATAATATTTTTATGTGCTGAAATAAATTACTATAAAACTACACAAATACGTTTTACAGGGAAGTTGCAAAGCGTTTTTGAACTGCTATTAATTTTGTACAAGAGGATTATATTACAGGTTAAATAAAGCTCTGTGACAGTACTGGGGCCGTATATTTTGAGAAATTTTCTTAGATTTAAGATAAGAATCTGCAATTTACTTAAGTGGTATTCACAACTGTTTTTATCTGTCAATTACTTTCATCATTTAGTTTGTGATTAAAACACAGAAAGGTGCTAGTATAAAAAATTGTATGAAATATTTTTTTTCTATAATTAATGATTTTACTAAATAATCTTAAAAAGAACTCTACATTTTTAGTACATTCTCGTGATCATGTACTTATCGGTATTGAAAAAACTTATCTCAGACATTTAATGGTGTTAACCCTTAATCGTTTTGTCATTTCAAATGTAAACCCCTTGCAACTTCCTTTTCTGAACGAACTCCACTCGGCATCGGTTGTAATTTTACTAAGTAAGCAAATTTAACAAAACCAAGACAACATATTCAGTCAACTTGTCTAAAACTGAAAGATATTGTTTAAGCATATTCTGCTTGATAAAATGTTATTTCAATCTAACTGTTCTTGAATGGTAAAATTGACCAATTCATGTTATATCATATGTTTTCGCGATATCAACGTGTCTAACCGTCTTCAAGTCTATGTTTGCAGACAGGCTTTGAATAAACATAAATTATTGATTACATGAAAATAAAGTGTCTTTACAGGTGTATCTTGTGCGCTTTTATTTCGATTTTCTGCCAAAAAAGCAGGACTTTAAAATTTAACAATTTTTATATTGAAAATATTTGCTTTAGCAAAATAACAAAGATCTAAGTTATTATGACTACCTTGAGTATTGTCCTTATTGTTAATGGGCAGCAAAAATTACCTGACATGCCCTTACAAGAGAAAATGGTGAAAATTTCCTCACAAATAGGCACATACTTTTTACCTCGACACTGGTTGGCAAAAAATATTAAACTGAAGATCCTGAAATATTAGTGTCCAGTATGGCACCTGTACATACTTAAATAGATGATATCCCTAAAATACCTACATCAAACCCATTTAAACATGTTGAGGTAAATATTTTAAAGTTTGTTATTCAACATGCAATTGGGTATTGAGGCGACATAATCACTGATCGCCAGTGTTCAAAATAAAGGAACACCACTGATTTGTTAAAGTGTATTTAATATATTATTAAATACATCAATGTGTGTGTCATGCACTGATTGGGCGATATGCTTGAACTGTTCATTATCAAGATTTTTTTCCTTATAGGTTGATCACCGTAACTCCATAGATCGGCTTCAAGATGTCCGGAGGTTTAGACGCACTTGCTCTTAAAGAGGAAGATGTTACAAAGTTTTTGGGATGTTCAACACACTTGGGTGCCCAAAATGTTGACTTCCAGATGGAACAGTATGTGTATAAAAGGAAACCAGATGGCGAGTTACTTTATTTATAGAAAACCTTTTAATTTTAGTTACTAAAACGGTCAGTAATCCAGATGACGGTCCTTTGTAATCAAAGAGAACTGATAATACTTTGTAATACTTTAGTGGTGATAATACTTTGTAATACTTTAGTGGTGAAGTCAGGGCTCCAGATAAGATGCGTATACGCGTAAATTACGCATGGAAATAACACGTTTACGCATTCAAAACAAAATTTAAGCGTATGAAAACGCACACAAAATTCAGGTTACGCATTGAGCAACATTTCTTTCGCGTAAACGTAATCGAAAGTAAACTCGGCGATTTTCTTATACTGAACGCTTTGCAAGCGTCTACCGGTAACTTCCTGTAGTTCCGACCATCATCGGTTGTTATCGTATGTATAGTATGGTGGTGGAATTAACTTCGTATGAATGTCTAACGGTAACTTCCTGTAGTTCCGACTATCATCGGATGTTATCGTATGTATAGTAAGGTGGTGGAATTAACGCAATTTCATAAACATCTGGTACAATGTTGCTGTCAATAGTCAAAACGATTGACTCGTATTTTCGGCCGAAAAAAAAACGGCAAAGGTTATAATTAATGAAATAATTAGCGCTGCCACATATGAGCAACAGAAGCATGCCTCAGGTTCAGATAAAACGTATGCTGTTTGGAAATGCAAGATTATAAACCAAGAGATCCAAAAAGAAAAAGAAATGACTTTGACATATCTTGTATTACAAGTATGATAATGCAATAATAAATGGAAGCATAATAAATGTTTTACTCTTTTACATACATTTTAAGGAGTAAAAATACTCCTGCCAAATTTCAGATTTCAAGTTTTACTCATTCACAAAAAAATCAATGAGTAAATACTCATTGCCCTAAAAAATTATCTGGAGCCCTGTGAAGTTCTTGAAGAAATTGACAGATGAATATTTTAGATTAATGCAAAGTGGTGAAATGTAGTAAGACTTGAAATTAACGCTTTTTAAATGTCAATGATAGATCTTTGTAATTGCTTCTTGCAGGTGTTTACATCATCAATCTGAGAAAGACATGGGAGAAACTTCTGCTTGCAGCCAGGGCTATTGCTGCTATTGAGAACCCAGCAGATGTGTGCATAATCTCTGCAAGGCCATATGGTCAGCGTGCTGTCCTGAAATTTGCTTCTGCTACAGGAGCAACCCCCATTGCTGGTAGATTCACACCAGGTACATTCACCAATCAAATTCAGGTAATTGAAAAATGTTTTATCTTTGATTTATAAATTTCCTAACTATAAAATTTACTATTAAGAGTGTTATGAATTTTTCGATTAAAAAAAAAAGAATGAAAAGGTTTTCTAAATGTAAATAAAAAGATTTTGTTTTTGTTATACAAAGGGTAAGGTTGCCTTAGGTTGGAGACATTTTCTGCAGTACTGCTTTAATATGCTGTTACTAGTTTATGTTATTTATATACCCAACGGTTATGGGTAGGGGCTTGTTTTGCGGCCTATTTTATTTTTGAATTGCACTAAAATAGACCGTGATTGTTAACATTTTGATCTTTTGTAGGCTGCATTCAGAGAACCACGTCTGTTGGTTGTCACAGATCCAAGAACTGATCACCAGCCAGTCACTGAGGCTTCTTACGTTAACATCCCGGTCATTGCTCTCTGCAACACAGATTCCCCTCTCAGATATGTTGACATTGCCATCCCGTGTAACAATAAGGTATGTCTTGTACCATGTTTTTTCCTCAATACTTTTTGCTTCTTTTTTTTTTTCAGAATTATTTAAATATGTGAACCCATAGTAGAGCTGTCATCGATATCGACAATATCGATGTATCGTTGATATTTTTTTGTCGATCAATAATCGATACACATTTTAAAAAATCGATACGTTTGACTTATAAATTAAATGTCTAGAAATTATACAATTCACCCAAAATATATGCAGAAACAATTATTTATATCAAATTTGATGCTTTTGTAATATAGTGGAATTATTTCATAGCAATGGTGACAAAAAATATTGTCTAGAAAAAATCATGCAGTGGACAAGACACTGTACAGAACATGTTTTTGACTGAAATCATTGAAACTTGTATGAAAGTTTATGACAGACGAGTGAGTATAGGATATTATCGATATATCGGTGTATCGTTGATTTTAGTTACTTGATATCGATATATCGCTGATATGCTTTGCACTGAATCAATGACAGCTCTAACCCATAGCCTGCCGAGAGTTCAAATTACACCAGCTTTTTACTTTCCCCAAGTCCGCAAATTTAGCTATGATTCTTCCCAAAATCGAGAGGCTTAGGCCTCTTCCCATTTTAGAGAGAAAACCTCCTGTATTTATAGGTGATTTTTTCCACAAAACTTTATTAACCATGTAATTTTAATGCTTTTAGGGACCACAGTCTATTGGTCTGATGTGGTGGTTGTTGGCTCGTGAAGTACTTCGTCTTCGTGGTACCATCAGCCGAGAACATCCATGGGATGTGATGGTAGATCTCTACTTCTACAGAGACCCTGAAGAGGTAACAATATTTATTTCTGAACTAAATGAGCATGCAGCGTTTCTTTGTTTTGTTGTTCCTTTAATATAAACCTCTAAAGCGAACCTAAGGAATCAAGTGGTTAAAAATAAATAGCCTGTCCTAAACCTTAAATTTTTATTCCTGAGAAAAAATTCTATCATATTAGGAAGCTATGTATTTGATTTAAAGTTATGTAGGTTCAAGCTCATCCTTAAAGACAAGATGAGCATGGTAACACAGTTTTCTTCTGAATTGATAAAAAATATATGGGAAAACTATTTTATGGTTGTGTGGATACTAATTACAAGACTGATTTAAGAAAGGATCCAATAATACACAGTTATGCAGAATTTGTTGCTTACAAAATTTGAAGGAAAGGGGATCTAAAAATATTTTGCATTGAGGTCATCTGCTAAGCAGTAAATTCGATGAACATGGGGAATGTGGCTTATTTTGTGTGTCCAGGTTACTATGATCAAGATGTATTAATGTGATTTATGTACTTAAAATTTTCTCACTTTGTTAAAGGCCGAGAAGGAAGAGCAAACTGCCATTGCTGAGAAGGCTGTTGCTAAAGAACCAACTGATCAGTGGGCACCCGAGGCAGTTCCCCAGATTCCACAGCAGACTGAGGTAACTGACTGGGCTGCAGAAACTATGAGCACCCAGCCTGCTATTGGCGGTCAATTCATGGGTTCCAGCGTACCTGCACCAACTGAAGACTGGTCAGCTACTGATGACTGGTCCAAACAGGTACCTGCCACTACAGGCGCACCAGCAGCAGGACAGCCTCCAGCCAACTGGGGAGGAGATTCTACTGTAGAAAGCTGGTAGAAGTTGAAAGTTAATTAAGAACTTTTGAAGAAATATGCACATGCCAGCAAGTGAAGAGAAAAAAATAAAAAGGGAAAACAAATATTGTTGTGTTGGATTTTGTTTTGTTTGTCTGACAAAAGATTTTAATGTTAATTGTTTCTTGAGAGAGAAAAAAGCTGAATTATAATTTGGGATTGTAACAAGTACCAATTTCACTTGGTATTAGTCCTTCGCCCGATCAAGTATTTGATTACTTGAAAGGTTAACTTTAACTTAAATGTATAACCATTTTCCATCTAGCTTCCATTTCTGCCAAATCACAACAATGAATCTGGTAATTCATTTATAAATATAGCACCATCGGCGATCCACTTTCAAGGCTAGTACTTAAAATGTGATGAATATACAGGTAGACTTGACCTTACTGTTATGTCGAGTAGCAGTCACGTATATTTGATTCTTGATGAAAATCCCTATACAAATTGCTATGATAGCAGTCGTTTTATAAAATGGACTTTCCTGTGGCCATTTTGAATCCAAACAAGTCTGTGTCACTGTTCTCATCAAACTAGGAATAACGCTAAGTTGCCTAGCATAAATGATTAATGGACACACTCGAATGATTGTTACACATTAAGACGGCCCTTTTAATTCATAGACGTGTTTGAATTTGTTTAATTAGCTGCCAATGACGGTAGGGTCAGGATTATTGAGCCTGATTAACATTTTTACTTTTAGGGTCGATTAAATTGAATATGAATAATGGTCATATGTACACAAAATACATTTGTCTTAATTTGTTTGCACCGGAGATGAAGAAACCTTTTATCTTCATTACTAGGATTGGTTAACTACTAGTATAGTGTGTAGTCTAATAAATTCATTATTTCATGTGCTTACCCAGACATTGTATATAGCCCATGATTTTTTTTTAAGTTTATGAAAGTAAAAAGCATTTAACTCTGTTCTTCGTTATCCTTTAGAGGGAGATCCGAAGTAATATTTAGAAGTAGGACAAAGTTTTAGGTTGTCACTCTAGTGGACATACAGTTACATAGATCTTGCAAAATACTAAAGGAAAATAGATTTTTCCCACAAACGGGTGAAAAAACTTGGTGTTTGGCTACAATCTTGGAACTATACAGAACACAACGGTAGTTGCAACAAGACACCGACAGCATGTGTAAGTTGCTCATTATTGAAAAAGGGGGGACACACCAGCGGCTTAGTCGAAGAAATAATATTACTTTTAGTTTTGAACACCTAGAGGGTTCATACAGACTTTCAGTGCTAAAATTCAAGCACTGGCATATACAAATTTATTACACGTTTTGCAGTAGATTACTGAATTATAACGGTTAATTATATTCTGATAATTTCACAGTAATGATTACCAAATATAATTTCACAGTAGCCGAACTATATTTGGCGTAAAAATAAAATATTTATCATTAATGAATGTTTTTTTCAGCGGAAATGTAGTCAATAATAACAAATGTACGTGATAACTGTAGTTCGTAAATATTTACGAACGTTGTGCTGAAAAACATCTAAAATCTAAAAATAATCATGGAATTATATTTTGCTTCAACATTGTGACGTCATTATTTGGTGACGTCATGAAGATAAGAGCATGACGTTACGCGGCAAAAATCAATAAAATGGTGTAAAAATCGTTAAAAAATCATGAAATAAACAGAAAATTTGTTTGTTTTACATGTAAGATCAAATAATATTTCACTCGTGAACCCCAGCTATTATATTTTCACTCGTGGCTACGCCACTCGTGGAAAATATTGCATCTGGTGTTCACTCGGTGAAATATTTTTCGATCTTACACTGAAACAAACAAATATCCTCTATATATTACTTTTAACTCATAAAAATGTAAACTATGATACAGAATTTCAGTTGTGATAAAAAATTAAACCTGTAAACAAAAAGTAAAGTAACTTAATGCTGGGAGTCACAACCAAGTTTATTCAAATACATGTTTATCACACACCCGTGCTGATTTTGCGACTCTGTAAATATGGTATTGCACAGCCGTGCATATATTTTGACGCGACGTCATAAGCATTATACAAACATAGTGTAAAGACGCGCTAAATGTAAGCGTTGTACTATAGGCGGGTCAATGAAAAAGGACTTATTTCCCTTGAAACGGTCTTTATTTTGGGTATGTGATAAAAAGAATATAAAATTCATGTATGTTCAATACTGAATTTATTGCACTCGTTGAATAAAATAATATGCTCGACAGAGGCTCGCATAATATAATTTTATTCAACTTGTGCAATAAATTCAGTATTGAACTTACACTCATTCAATATCCTCTATATATCAAGTAAAAGTCCACCTTTATTGAGTAAATTTATAGTTATTAGTGTAAACAGTACATTATTATTTATGGTTGCAGAAACACAGTTCAAAACATACCTATTGACATTTATTCAGATTTGGCAACAACTGTGGGCATTGATAAATTATGAATATCAGACATATACATGGTTGCAAGTTCAAAATATAATAAAACCTGAAAATGCTGAATTTAGTTACATTTCAATTAGTTTTATGTGTACTAGAAACAGATTTCATGAGTAGAAATAACCTGAACTTCAGGCAAATGCCTGAAAACTTGTACCCATGCATATATTCATCATAATTTTACCAAAATAAACTTACTTTGGATGTCAAATATTATATGTTATTTTGGTTTTGGAGTGATATATGTGGATATATTACCTGTTAAGATTTTATATCACCCGAGCCGTTAGGCGAGGGTGATATTTTATCTTGGCAGGTAATATATCCACATATATCACTCCAAAACCGAAATAATAATTTTATTACCCTTCCCCTGCCGAGTTTAGACGATTTTTTAAAAAATCATTGCTGTTTCAAATGAAACGTCGAAATAAGATTCCCTTTAGGGTACCTCTTCGTCACAACATGACGTCACATAAATACATGACGTATTTTTCCCGTACCTAATAAATGTAAACAAGAGAAAAGGAGTAGTCTATTGAACGCACTTTTTTGTAATTAATATCAAGCTTTCACAAGGTCATATTTGTTTTCGATACTGATGGTAATATGTATCATTACTCTACTTTTGTAAATATTTATCATTTGACAGTTAAAAAGTGCTTTTAAATTGGAATTTACACCGCGTAAAATCGAACCGTACGCGCATCACCTCAGCGCATGTTGTTTACAACGTTGGGTACCCAACGGGGAAATTTAGTGTGTATATTACCCGTCTGGCTCTGTTATATCAATTTCTTTCGGGTGATCAATATCCAATCAAAAAGGCGGAAAAAATCTGGAAGGGTAATAAATACATTTGTTGTACAATATATGAAGATCACACTCTCTGATTTTATTTCCATCTAAAACCACATGGTAGAACTACTGCTACTTTGTATTAAGACAGAGATTATTATGAATAACGGTCAAGGTGTTCTGATTGGAGTTACTTGTCACTAAAGGTACGAGGCAACATGTAACATTTTTGAATTACCTTTCAAAAACCTTTAAATTCTTCTTGCTACAACAACTTCCATTTTATTTGCTATATTTATTTGTTTTATGTATTTATATACTTTACAAATTTACAGAAATAACATAAACAGAAAAAAATACCAATATTGCATATAAAAGTATTAAACGATTAACATGTGCACCAAAAGTATTAAACGATTAACACTGTGCACCGAAACACATGCTATGTTTTTAATTTTTTCTTTGGAGGATGATCGTCATTGTTATTTGATTCTATAGCTTCAGAAATGCTGTTGTACAAATCGGTATCAAGAACTTTAGCTATCTGGTATGTCCAAAGAGTCAGCTCAACTTTATGAGGATCCCAACACTTTTCTGGATCTGTGAAAATAAAGAGAGGTGCCTAATTTATGCACAATTTGTCATATCAGCATCTAAAATGAATAATCCAATTTCTATTAACATCTTCAGGGTGAAATATGTACTTACATGGAAGTTTGCACAAAACATCTGTATAAATTTCATAATATAACTTCTAGTGCAAGTACCAAATTTAAACAATCTGTCCAAAAGAGTGTTATAAGTTTTGGAGTGCAAAACTATCATATTTTGGAGAAGTGCAAGATTTTTTCAGTCACGTGCATCAAAACTCGTGGTCGTGCGAAGATTTTCAGCATTACTGATGGGAGAAAGACCTCAATAGAACAGAAAACCTGTACATTGTATGTTAGATACAAAACTTCTTCATATGACAACTGTGCATGGAAATGTTCAGACCAAACGCAGCCATTTAGGCAGAAACTAGTCGTGTACAGAAGAAAAGTAGTTTATCAAATTTAAAGGGAGCTAGTTTAATGATCAAGGTGTTCGCCTCTTAATTCAGAACTTGTGGGTTCGAGTCTGTTATAACCACTATGTTTTTTCATAAGTGGTCTGTATCAGAAAGGCCTATTGGGTTGACTAAATATGATTCAAGTTAACTTAAATACACTCTTATCGCTGATCATATTCATGTAACTGTATACATGTACCGAAAAATAAAGGCCCCTTTGACTTATTCTGCTAAGAATACAAACTAATCTCTCAATTATTATGTACCTGAAGGCATATTAAAGATCCTGTAACACAATTTTTTTATGGTTTTATATCATAAATATGATGCTCAAAATAAGATTTATCAATTTTGTAAGTTCCAAAAAGCATTATTTATAAAGATATTACCGAATTTAACATTTCATTCAAATAAGGAAAGGTAATAAAAAAATAATTTTCTATAAAGACTAAGTCAAATTTTTCAATACGAAATGAATGCATATATTTCAATGATTACATATAATATGTACATTTTAATATTTGCAGTACATATTTTACATATTCTTCGATGTTTGAAAATTGTTTTACAAGTAATAGAAAGAGCACCGAAACACGAGGTTATCTGATTTGTACGAGGGGGCGTAGCCCCCGAGTATTAATCAGATTACCGAGTGTTTTGGTGTTCTTTCTCTTTTGTATCATAGTCAAACATAAAAACACGTTCCCTTTTGTCACAATATGAAACCCCGGCAAAAATGAACCAATGAACGAACATCTGAATATGATATTTCTGTCGCTTTCACTTTCTCTGCCGTCACAATATGTAAACCCCAGCAAAAATGAGCCAATCAATGGGCATGCTCTGGAGTGCGGGTAACTAATACCCGCACTCCAGTTAACGCACTGTGCATGTATATGTATACGATTTAACCCTGACACATTTTCAACAGAAATGTCTCCAAACTATGATACAAGCATAATTATATACATGTACATATATATAATTTCATTTAAGTGTGGTATACAACCTCAATTACAACATACAGGATCTTTAATGCATTGCCCTGGGGGTGTTTTAGCCCTGCTGGAACAGAAACTGATTGCCTTTGCTACCAGCTAGAGCCAGGCAAGACAACACATCTGTGCAGTGTTACCAGACTCTATACTGTTAGCTGACCAACTTTAATCTAAATCTTGATATCCCTAGAATTGATAATGGAATGTTCCTTAAAAAGGAAGCTGGACAAGTCCATTTAAGAAAATCAGCAGGTAAAGATTGGGATATACAGTAACTAGTACTACTTTACCTTCTTTATTAAGATGTTTTACAATCTTTGTAACCTCCTTCATGTATTCTTTATAGAACGGCAGATCATATTTGATAACCTGTAACCCTGGTAACGCCTGCATACTCTCGTCTGCCATAAATGCCCCATGTTTTGGAGCACCTGCTGCTAACACAGCTTAAATGTAAAACAAAAACACAATATAATTCATTGTCATTAATACTGGATATTTAGATTTAACATCCCGAAATCATTGAATTATTTAACTTACATACACAATAATTGTTTGTTCAAGGATTGCAGCATTTCAAAAATTCTTTTTTTTTTTCCCTACATGTAGGTCTTGTGACAAGTTATAAGATGAAGAAGAAAGTGGTCACAATTAATCTGACCTCCAAGCGCAACCTTGACCTTACACACCACAGATCTTCTGTGGTGAAAACCCATGCCAAATATCAAGAAATGAAAAAGTTAAAAGTTGGACGGGATTTGACATCCAATGTGAGTCTTCAACAATAAACATTGTCTAATTATGGTGATAATGTCTATCAGTTTATTTTGAAACCCATTATGCATGCAGAACTTACTGATTGGTGAAGAACTCAAGCTGCATTATACTGCATATATGACAACATGTATATGAAAGAACCTAAAGGTCAATCCCTTGCTGCGACCTCAATCTTTTAGCTAGCGACCTTGATCTTGCACAAGTTACTTTAACTACTTATGGTGATCATGTTTTCCAATTTATTTTGTAATCCAATCATGCAGAAAGAGTAAACATTTATAATTTCATAATGAAAGTTTACCTGACGCTGTGGCAGGTCCGACAGCTTTAAGGACAGTAAGAGCCTGGATTGCTGAAGATATATCTGGTAACGCTTGAAATGCCTTTACACTAGCATTCTTTACATCCTCCTCCGAGTTTGTAGCTACCATTTCTGTAAGACGTGGTCTAAACTTTCCTCTCTGAAAAAATAGTATTATACACAGATGAACATTATCTTAGAAAATAAGTGCAGGTCAAATCATTGATTCAACAACCGGATACAATCATCAAAGGGGAAACAACTTACTGGATATAGAGCCTGAGAGATACAAAAATGCCCATCCAGTTAACACATAACAGGCATGTGTAAAGTGATATCAGCACATTACTCCATTGTGTATGTTGCATTTTAACCTATCACTAAGGGCTGGTATAAGGCCCAATTCCAAATTAAACAAAGAAAAAAAAAAGAAAAGAAAATATATTCCATAAGCTGCAAAGAAAAAAAATCAACTTATTTCAACTTCTGAGCAAAAATTAATCTTTTTTACTTGTTTCTTAAAGATAAATAAAACTTGTCAGTCATGTAAAACATTGTGTTTCAACTTTTAAATTTTCTCCCCAAATGCCACATCATTTTCCCCAAATAAAGCCAGGGGCCTTTTCCCAAAACAATCCTTGTGAGTCAGAGATCTTGTAAAACAAGATAAATACCGTGAGTTTCCACTTCATCAGCTTGCATAGTTCCTCCTGGGTAACATGCTTCGGTTTTCTCCCTTTAATGATCATAGGTAACTGATTCTGATACCTGAAATCAAATCAAATCAATATGAATATTATATGAATCTTACACCGGCTGCAGGTACAGACCGGCAAATCTAGCTCGAGGGTGACTGTTTATGGCGGTAACGAGGCTCTGACGAGTTTCCGCTAAACAGTTACCCAAGAGCTAGATATTCCCATCTGCACCGACAGCCGGTGTTTGATTTTTTTTCTTGCATATTACATATCATTTATTTTTAGAACAGAAACTACGAAAACTGATATTCTCATTAATCATTATGCACTTTTTTCTTATAGAAGCGTATGAACTTTCAACTTCATTCATAACGGTTAAGTGACATCATCCTAAGAATGCAATTCATTCATAAAATGCGTGAGGCAATGACATCATTTAAAGCACGCAATTTGGTGTAAGACAGGGTTTTCTAGGACCGTTGTAAATGGTAGATTATCTTGTCTGATATGCAAGAAAATAGTGACTGTATTATCCTACAGTAACTGTTGTAATCAGAAAATTGGCTTTGAACAGAGGTGAGATTTTTTTTTATTGTTTGAAAACACTGTGCTGTTAATCATGTCAATCTCAAGGGCTTGAATACTTCTTGAAGGATAGGTAATGCAGTTGTTTGGTGAAAGAATTTGTCAATTTAATTTTCTGTTGTCTTTAATATGGTTTATAAGGCTCAAGGAGCTATAGCTTAGTCTCCAATTTGATATAAGGTCTCGTGCCGATATAGGTCATGTTATTGATGTTTCACAGTAAAATAGGCAATAATAAAGACTTTACAAGTATTTTGATGTTTTAAATGTATAGAATAATATTTAAATAATTTTTAATGGAATAATGCAAAATATTGTTTAGAGCCCGAGGATTTACAAATCAAATCTGTGTTATTTTGGTATGGTTTCCTAACAAGGCTAATGCCGAAACAGATGAAAGAACAAATTGTTAAAATGCAGAATATCCAGAACTTAAGCTACATGTTGTAAAGTACTTTTGTTTCAAACAGACAAAACTATTGCACAGACAGCTAGATCTCTCCAAAACTGTCATGGAAATTTCAGGGGAGGAACTGTTCAACTGAAAAAGAGAATAGTCTGGTTAGTATACCATATTGTGTGCTGTAACTAGAGCCTTTCATTAGAGCCCAGAATCATCCCACATGTATAATATTACGTATTATACTACTTTAATTATGTGATAATCTAATATTGCAAGAGTATAATTGCCATTCTCCCATAATTGAAGCACTTTTGGTTAACAAAAAATGAAAAATCTGACTTTCATAAACAACGATTTCTATGATTTGCTTTTAATGTTCAATACCTTGGACAGATTGTGTGGAAGTTTAACACACACCATTCGCTCCGTTTGTATACTGAAAGCTTTTGAAGTTAGTTACTGAATTACATTGTTACGGAACATATATATACCATAGGAATTACTTTGGAGGTATTGTTTTACTAAGATTTTAAATTAAACAATCCAAAAAAATATGCATTGTAAAGTTGAAGACCAATGGTTACCTTTAGCAATAATATGTTATGCCATACCTTATTCTGAAACTTGTATACTTCGTATTTGAAAAGCTTGTATAAGCAAATATTTTCGTAACTTAAGATTGACATTGTTTCGATACAATGCACAAACAAATACTGTCATAAAAGTTATCGAATTATATCTAAAAAAGAAGCAGAAAACAAATCAAGCATAACTTTTAATCGGTGTAACGTTACCAAAAAAACTTCGCCTCATAAATGATCATCAAACAGACCTTATGATCTGTTACGGAACTTAGGTGAAAAATTATAAAACATAGGATTTATAACTCAATATTTTCACTCTTTAACACTACTTAAACAATTTAAATGTGGTATCTTCACAAACAACATCAATCATAAAACACTGTATCAATTAAAAATAACGTCAACAGTTTAATTTAGTGAGTAGTGCAGGAAAAGATATCTGTTACGGAACATATGTTATGGAAAATAAAATATTATGTTTTTCACTGAAAATGAACAAGAATTCTTTTTTTTTCACTTTTATTTGCTTTATTTCTGCCTAATTTACACAAATTTGTTGTAATGTTATAACGTTTCATGTAGTTTCCTCTACATTTTCCTCACCAGTGCTTTTTCTTTTTTGAATGGGAACATAATTTTTTCTGCTTTCTTTCTCTTTTAAATGATTTGTTGTTTTCCCCTCTCTGCTTTGTCTCCTGTATTTCTGTTTTTAAAAGCACCATTCTAAAATAGAAAATCGTTGCTTATTATAAATTTATTAACCTTGATACATGAACATCATTAAAATAATTATTTTTGTCATGATTATTATTCATATAACATTTACATGTACATAATAATCATCATTTTTATCATTATTACATTAATATCATTATTAATATTACTTTTTTCATGATAATTGTAATTCTAAAACTTTTAGATAATGTAAGTGACATAATGTTACAATTTTGGTATTTTATAAATAGTAAAAAAACATAAAAAATCATATTCAAACATAGCATTTATGAATGCTATGTTCCGTAACAAATTTGGTATGTTCCGTAACGGAAAACTGCAACCTTACAACACAATACAAATCATGTTAGACTTCCAGTTAATATTGGACACCATTTTCATATATCTTTATAATGAAAAAACACACTGGAACAGTTTTTATAAACAAACTGAATATATGTATTATGGTGCTAAAAAAAGAGGATAGAAGACTATGCTTCCGTAACAAATTGCCTTTGACTATTTGATAATCTGTGCACTTCTTTTTCATCGAAATATGTGTTCCATGTTAGAAACCAATCATTCATTTCAAATTGTTAAATAACTATGGATAAAGTACATATATGACATCAGATTATGATCTCAAAATAATTAACTATGTTCCGTAACAAATGTTTCAAACAGGTAAAAAAAATATAAATAGCATCAACTTGCTACTTTTGACTCTGTGGTTTGCTGAAAATAAAGCTTGCAATCGATTTTTATCAGTAAAATTTCTCGTGTAAGTAACATAATTGTGAAAACATCGTTATCAAATCAAAAACAGTGATTGCCAAAATAAAGTACAGTGATTGCCAATTACCTCCAGTTGCCTAATTGTATCATAAAAGTCAATTAAGATGTTGCATGCATACCTCTTAGTGACGTATCATTGGGAGCGGTGATAGGCAAAATAGTCACACCGTCAATTGAACCGTATACTGTACCGAAATTCGGATGATCGTTTTGTTACGGAAAATAGTCGTTATGGAAACATAGTGAAATTCGACTTCCACGGGTCAGAATTGTCACATTTTTGTGCAAACGACATCTCATTTTGGTGTTTTTCATTTAAAGAAATACAAAACAATATTTTAAAATTTTTGTTTGATTGGTATGATGTATATTTAAAAGTATACGCCCGTTACGGAGGCATAGCATTTTAAACGCGACATTTGAATTATTTACAATAAAACGGTTTGTGTAAAAATGTATCATCGCAGGAGTCTAATTTATCAATTTTATTCCAAATATAGTCTTTTGATATTGTTTTGAGTACAAATTTAAAAGAATATAACGCATCTGAAGATCGTTACATTCCAGTTTAAAATCGTTACGGTACCATAGTTGCAATTCGGCGACGGCAGCATTTAAAGAAATTCATGGAAAATAAGGGTCTCTGTCTCGAACTTCTTATGTAATTCTTAATCTATTATCAATACTGTATTGATTTTAGGCAAAAACTTGTTGGAAAACATAGAAATGGATTGTTTTTTTCACCAATCTTAAACTTTAATTGGTCAAGCGACAGCGCTTTTTTGCAGTTACAATAGCTTTTCAGTTTAACACAAATGAAAAACGAGGAGCATCCACGCTACAAAATTTAAGTTAAGCTGCTGAGAATATCCCAGTGTACTTATTTAAATGTTTGTCACAAAGGATTAAGCTCGTCGGTACATTTTACTACGATTTTAAAAGTGGAGACAGGAATTATTAAAAAGTGCTTCAATTATAGGAGAATGGCTGATAAATGATTAACAGATTTATGTATGAGCTTTTAGTTACAATTTTGTTGATTTTACCAATTGTCAAGCTCAACTAAGCTCTTTTTCTTATCTGGCTTCATCTTAGATGCCTTTACTGCAATTGATTTATCATAATAACCAAAAACTAAACCCCAAACTCGAAAATCGAGATCTTTCAAGAAGTTTTCCATGCTTCTCTTTAACATTCCCGCATAAAATACATTTGGGTGAGAATCCTATCTTCATTTTAGAGAGTTGCCGCATGATACGAAACGACCGTTCTTGCGCGAAAAGATCTTCAAAAGCGAAAATGTATATATTTCATGAAATAATTTGACTTTTTTAAATTTATTTTATTATTTTTGTTTGTTTGTTTGTTTGATTACTTACAGAAAACCTAACGTTTAAGAATACTGGGAACAAATAACTTTCTGAAAAAAATAAAGCTTACTAATGAAGATGCTTGCACTTTTTATACCATAGTCAGTCAAAAAATTTGATTCATCTGTTCAATGAATGTGAAATAAATTAAACTATTTTGGCTGCAACTTCATTTTTATATAACAAGTAAATGTAGTCTGAATTTTAATGATTAGATTACTTCAGATATATTATTTGGTAATACAGAATTAGATATTGTCATAAATAAGATAATGTTAATGGCGGGGTATTTTATATATTACAATAAAATGGAAAAAAATAGGCTTTTAAGTCATAATAATAGCTAATTATAGCATTGAAAAATGGGATGCAAAACAAACTGTCAAGTATGAAAATTTTTAGAAGTCATGGCAAAAATTCAAAAGCCTGTCAGATTCTTCCAGTTGAATCGCAGTAAAAAATATTATAACCATGTACTATATATTTAAAAGGTTTTTATGTAATTTCTGTTCATCATAACTATATACAGAACAAGCTAGACTACATATAGTTTTCTTAACTCTCATCCACAACCATTATAGTGTGGTTTTCCGCCGCCTTATTCACATCCTTTCTGATTCTCATTTTCAATTTTTTCTATTTATTTATTAATCTTTTACTTTCATTAAGAAGGAAACTCTAGTAGTTTGCACCAGAAACCTTTTATATACCTGTTTTTATGAATCATACATAAAAGCTCTCTGTCTTCATTTGAATTTATATTTTGATAATACTTTGTGTATTATATATGTACATAAATTTGTCTACACACACTTTGTAAGAAGTGTTAAAAGTTTAGTCTTTGACTATGAAAAGTGTACAATACACCTGTTTTGATTAGACCTGAAGTATTAAAAGTAATGAAAAAAACTTAAGAAGTCGCGTGATGAAAGTTCTTGTTTATATTAACATGTAGAAGTCAACAATTTCTTTCTAGCAATTATGCATTACCACTATATTTCATCTTAAACATGTATAGCCAATATACTAGATACATGGTGTTAGGGGGACAACCCTAAGCACATACTAGAAAGAGTATCCACATATGCACCGAATAAACCCCATTACATTACAATTAAATTGCTTTACTATAATTAGCTGCATTTTTGTCTGTAGTTATACACTTATTATTGAGTGTATAAACTAAATATTTGAATTTGTACAGTCAAAATAATATAATTGGCAAAACCTGGCATTTGCTTTGGCTAGAAAACATTTATTAAGATTTGTGAAACATATTTTTGTTATATAAAACCCCCCAAATTTTAATTCTACATGTATATAAATCCAGCTCCCATGGAATGTTTTTTTTCTTTTTCAACATTATATATTGTGTTTATGATTAAGTATGTTTTCTATGTAGATGTTATGTTGAAAACACTGTTATTTTATAACATAAATTTGTATGTTCCTTAATTGGGATAGATGTAAGATATTTTGATTGGAAGAAGTGGATGGTTCATCCCCGACTCACTTTCCACTATTAAAAATAAATGAGCAACTATGTTGCTAAAATTAAAAACAAACAAACTGAAGTTGAAAGGGCAAACATTTAATTTTACAGTACTGTTAACTGGTCTGTTCTTTATTAGCATGTTGCAGTCAGAATATCACTTTTATAGGCAGTTTACCATTGCCTAATTTATGTGCAATTACCGATCTTTTTGTATTTCCTTCAGAATAGGAAAAAAAACATTAAAAGCTGATTTAACAGTGTTCAACCAATTTTTTTCCGCATTTCACGTAAACATTTTCATAGAATATATTCCCCAGCAGGTTGTCACAGAAAATCAATCAAGTCAACCTTACCGGTTCCGCCATATTGTCTGAAGTGTCACGTTTTTTTTACAAAGTTATGGCTCATTTTGATCCCCCAGTGATTCAGGAAAATGAAAATGGATGGGGACCATGTAACGTCCCAGAAAAATACAAGGATATGCCTTATCAGCCGTTTGCGAAAGGCGACCGGTTGGGAAAGGCAAGTACAAAACCAACATATTGTAGCCCCCGTTGAATCCGGGTCAGCTCGGCCCTAAAACGTACTCGGTCCCCGAGTCAGCTCGGCCCTATTCCAACTCGGCACGGGTCAACTCGGCCCACTTTAAAAAATGGGTAAAAGACATTAAAGGACTCCTATTGTCACGGGCTATTATTATCAATTAATGTGTATATTTTCGTGTCTGGGCAATATCTCGACCCAGAACGAAAATATCTCAGAATCAAGCTTTGGCACGTCAATATATTTTGACTATTAGAAGCTTATGATATTAAGTAAACACGTTTTTGTTTCATATATTTTTGAAAATTACTTTACAAACAAATTGCATCTAAGGTCATTTTAGGAAACACATTTTTATTTTATCTATACATGTATTATCCTAATTTTATCGAATCTGCAAGACAAATAAATAACATTTTTTTCTAAATATTACTACTTTATTTCGGCAGAAGTACAATGCATAATTATATAATGATAAGATATTTCTTATTATTCATTTACCTTAACAATATGCAAATCAAATTAAATGTGTTATAAATATTTTTGTAAAGTGGGCCGAGTTGACCCGTGCCGAGTTGACCCGTGCCGAGTTGGTATAGGGCCGAGTTGACTCTTTTCCCCCCCGTTTCGCGCTGATGATAAAGTCCTTTATTCCTCATTCATAAGTGGGTGCGTTCAGGGTTCTACCATCGGCAACAAAGCTTACTTACCATCGGCTACCGATGGTACCATTGGTAGCCGATGGTACCATTGGTAGCCAACTTACTCTGAACGAAAATAGGTATCTTTGGTAAACAAAAATGGCGTATGATCAACACCACAGAGCGAGGCGGGTTATTCCTGCTATGATAATGCTCCAAAAACAAAACTATGAGCATGTATTGAGTATTGTAACATCTAGCATATCAAACTGTGATGCCATGCTAGGTGTAATAAAGCAAAGGAGAGATGTTGTACCGAGAATACAGCACTACTATCAAGAAATCGTCCCCATGTATTCATTGGATGACTTCAAGAGTCACTTCCGTCTCTCTCGTCACTCTTTCCAAACACTGCAGGGGTGTGGAATTCCTATGTCCGACTTGTCCGACTCGGGCCTTTTTGCCAGCGGACAAGTCGATTTTTTCATTGGACTTGTCGGCGGGCAAGTGAATTTCAGAGCCATTTAAAAAAAAATTAAAAGCCAAATTTTGGTCACAGATTACTCTATATCATTTTATTTCATTCCAATATTGCATATCACCTTTACAAACTAGTTTAATTATATAACCCATTTTGTTTTGCTTTTTACCCCCTATGTAGTCCTAATTATAAGACCTATACGTAACCTATTTCATATTTATCATTCATTAATCTGATATTTTACATTTTTCATTTTCCATGTTACGTTAGGTCTTAACAGATCTTTGCAAAATCGTGTAGCAAAAAAATTGACATTAGACATCGATTTAGATCTAATGAATTTAAACAATTAAAACAGCGTGTATTTACATTAATTTTGACCTATTTATGAACAAAACTAAAAAATAAATACCTTTAAACAAAATAATTGAACTGTCACAACCGAAAAGTCATGATTATATCCTCTCATTTAATTAAATTCTTTGTACAGCTGATATACAAATGGCCGCCATACAGTGCGCGAAATCTGATTGGCTAATTCAAATGCAAGCGTTTAAATGAGTCCAGAAGTTTCTAACGGAATATTTTTTCAACGAAATAATTGCCCATGCACCGTCAGTGTGTTCAAATATATTTTTCCGTTCAAAAAATTGGAATCAATCTGTAAAACGCTTTACTTAACCAGTATGGCCGATGAGCGAAATAGACTGATATTTATATTTTATTTTTAATTGATAAGTACATTGTTTTAAAGTTTTTGTTAATGATAGACCATGCAATTGAAAGAACAGAAGATAAGCTTTTGAATAAAGCTTGAAAGGCAAGTCAACAGACATTTTTTTAATTTTTCAAAATGCTACGAGTTTTTGAGCAATAACTATTAGACGTAAAGGCTTGACCAACATAAAACTATAACAAGCCTGTAACGTCTAATCTATTGGACTACCCCCTATGAAGCCTCTCAATAGACGTATGTGCTATAGGAACTCATTGGTTGTATTGCGGCAAAAAATATAAAGCACAGATGATTTCATTGCAAAGTTTATTTCTTTGCATACAAAAAAAAACTTAAACAAATTCTTTATTAGAATGAATAGTTCAAAGCCTGTAGAAACTCCCAAAGAGTCAAAAAACGAAGTCAGAGAGCGATACTAGAAATTAGTATGATTCGAAAGGAATACATTTATTTCAGGATAGCTAGTTTATTGTCTGGCTGCCAAAAGAAGGTAATTCAGACAATGTCTATGGTCAAACTTGCAGATAATGTTCAGTTAGTAAAATATAGCTGCTGAACTTACATAATCCGCACTGTTTTGGGGGGGCAAGTAAATTTGGGCTGCGGACAACTAGAAATTTCAATCCAACTTGTCCTCGGACAAGTGGAAAAATTCCAAAATTCCACACCCCTGCACTGCTAGTGCAGATGGAGAAAGCGCCAACGTTTAATCGAGCGAAAGGCCCGTCAGTGAATACTGAGAAGGAACTTCTGATGTTCCTGTGGTATGTTGGTACGTGCAAGTAAGATGATCGCGCAACAACTCCATAATAACACTAAATAGCGATATAATATTCAAGTGTTTAAATGGTATCTTCATTAGCCGCCATTTTTGTTTGACTGAAAACGAGGCTACCAAAGCTACCCGACTTGTATACTCGCGGGAGAAATGGCTACCAACAAAATTTCCGTCGTTATACCGATGGTTACCGACGGCTACCGATGGCTACCTATAGTACCAATAGGTACCGTTGTTAGAACCCTGAACGCACCCAGTGGCTAATTCAGGCACTTGTGTCTGTGGTGATGTTGTTGTTGTTGTTTAAGGTTTTATTTATACTGGGCGCCGGTTTCCCATATGTCCCAGACTAGTCGGCCTCTATTACGATTGCTGGTCGTAGAGCCTGCAACGCCAACGGAGGACTTATTCGCCTGCAACGTCGTCGATGTCGTAGAGCTGCGACGGAGGTCTTTTCATGCTGTCGTTCGTTGTAGACCTTCTCTAGGACCCAATTCCTCGCTTCTTGAACAATGGTTGACAATAGAGGAAAGGCACCTCTTCCGGGAGCAGCAGCTGTTTTTAGGGCCACACCCCTCGCCGTTGGTTAGGTCACACCAGCTAAGTGACCTAACTAGTTCACCCATCTGGTGTGACCTATGCCTTCCGAGCGACATGCACGCCGCGAAGGGAAGTCGGAAGTCTGTGGTGATGTGGCTAGAGGTGTGAATTATACTCGACATTTGAGGGGTGAAATGCATGTGGCTGAGAAATAAGTTACATGTAATATATACTGTCTTACCAGAAAATATAGGGTGTCAGACATAATTTGAGGGAGTTACATTAGAAGAGATTGCTGAAATCGCGACCCTATGTTTGATAAATTAAAGCAAAAAGCGTAGTCTTGTCAGTATGAAGTAGCTTTGACATTGAGATTTTTTTTTTCTTGGCAAAGCAAAATCATATCAAAAATGATCACAAACCCATTCAGATTGCACATTCAGCAAGAAAATCTTGTGGATTAATATAGCACTCAAATCAGTGTATAAATGCATTAATTTCATTGAATTTTGCACTGTTTTATAACAAAAGTAAAAAAGATAAACCTTTTGAAAAATTATCAAACTGCAGAGTTTTTTCACTTTTGGGGGAAGGGGGTAGGTGCCCTTTGGAGAGGGGAAAATGCAATAGGAGGGGGAATTTTATTTGTTTATTTATTTTATATTGTTTTCTTTCCGGGTAGAAAAGGGGAGCAACTCTTGCAACACAAGTTTAAAATACGTCGCTTTTTCTTCACAAATTGGTCAGAATTGCTGACATCAGTGTTGCATGCCAGGGACAATATCATAGGCTTAAAAATATAATATGACCGAGAAGATAAACCATTCAATTATTTTCATTAAATTTCAGTATGGAAAAGTATGAAGAAATGTCCCAAAGACAGTGATTATAAAGACCTTTTAAAATTTTCGTTTTCTAAGGTAACTTCTCCTATCTTATTGGTATATATTGTTTTATTGCAGGTTTCTGACTGGACAGGTGCAACATATCAAGATAAGAGGCATTTAGGTATGATTCAGTTGTACATCTTATAAGACTGTAATTAAACAACTATCAATGTTTGGGAGTGCAGGGGTTTTGGCTGTTGTTATCAAAGGGACCCGGCACAGTGTTTGGATAGTGGAAAAAAAGTAATTCAAGAAGAAAAAAAATATAGTTTATATATAATATATAGACAAGGGGTTGAACTCGCCAAATCTAAAATCTTGTCAAAGTTGTTTCTTTGGTTTTGTTTAATCGATTTATTGCGAGATGGTACAATGACATGGTTTAGAATTGCGTTTTTACACATAGAAAATCGAGTGTTGACAGGTTGCATGGTTGTTGTCGACTTAGCAAAAATACGATGTTCCATCCGAAATATTGGTTTGTTGTTCAAAAACGGTTAAAGTGGGAACAATAATGTTATTGTCAACCTCTAGTGATGTCATTTAGCTGCAAATTGATATATAACTTAATACGATTTACATAAAAATGACTGCAATTTTGACTTTTACTAGACTAGTGGCATTCTGCCAATTTGGCGAGTTCAACCCCTTGTCAATATATATCATATAAACTATATATTTTTTTCTAAAATTACTTTTTTACACTATCCCAACACTGTGCCAGGTCCCTATGGTTGTTACAGGGTCATTATCGTGTCCATTTTAAAATGATGTATTTATTGGATTATTTTCCCAGACTGTTTCAGTGTTTGCTTGCAGATTTCTCCAGAAAAAAAAGATTTTAAAATAAACGTATTGCAGTGAAACTTTTAGTGTCTTGGAATATATAGGTTTTTTGCTCCAGTTGTCACATTGTGCAATAAAAATCATAAGAATTTGTTGAAATCATTAATGTTCTTTTTTGTTTCAGGGAAGTATAACTCCGCTTTTGGTGGAGGTGGCAGTCAGTATGCATATTACCATGAAGAAGACGAGAGCACCTTTCAGTTGGTTGATACGCAGAAAGTACAGAAACCAGTCTATCAACGTGGTAGACGTATGTTTCAACAGGTATGAGGAGTAACTCTCAGAAATATACTGACAGCAATTATAACTTGCCTATAGAGAGAAAAAGTCAGGGTCAGGTCGGCAAGACGGTACATTCATGCTGCCTTTACTAATTGGCTGCTTAATTTAAGTATTTTCAATATGAAATCTGCTTGAAATTAGTGCTGGATTACCTCATATTCAAATTTAGGCATATGCATTAATTTGATGATAACACAATAGCAGCAGGATGAAAATTGATATATAAATGTAGTTACAATATTCATTGTTTATTAGTTTACTTTGTTAGTTCACAGTCTCATTACCTACAAAAAGTTAGTCAATCTGATACCAATAGTTGCAAAAAAAGAATTACATTTTATCAGTTATATATGTGTGAAGTTATTCATCTAAGAATTATAAGTCAGAAGATTAAAAAAAGATTTAATTTCAACATGGAAAATTGTGAAGTAATAAATTTATTTTTGTATTCTAGAATAAACAGCGTCGTGAAAGGGAGCGTAAGCAACAGCAGCAGGCGGCAAACAATATGCAAGTCCTTTCAAAAACCCAGAAAAGCAGAGAAAGGTTTGTATGATGAATGATTTAATATTTTGATTGCACAAACTTGGCCAAATGGTGAAGACGATGGTAGTATAATACTATATTATGTAAGACTGGTTTCAAATCATGCAAGGAATTCTGAATTAATACATGTGTAGAGGCTTTTTAGCTCATCTGAGCATGCTCAGGGTGAGCTTTTAGGATCGATGATTGTCCGTCGTCCGTTCACATTTAGTTGTTAACACTCTAGCGGTCACATTTTTGCCTCAATCATCATCAAACTTGGTCAGGATGCTTGTCTAGGTGATAGCTTGGATGAGTTCGAACATGGGTCATCTCAGATGAAAAACTAGGTCACAGGAGCTAAAAATAGAAAAATCTTGTTAACACTCTAGCGGTCACATTTTTGACACAAGTGTCATCAAACTTGGTCAGGATGCTTGTCTAGGTACTTGCTCGGATAAGTTCGAACATGGGTCATCTCGGATGAAAACTAGGTCACAGGAGCTAAAAATAGAAAAACCTTGTTAACACTCTAGCGGTCACATTTTTGACTAAATTGTCATTAAACTTGGTCAGGAAACTTGTCTAGGTCATTGCTGGGATTAAATCGAACATGGGTCATCTCGGATGAAAAACTAGGTCACAGGAGCTAAAAATAGAAAAATCTTGTTAACACTCTAGTGATCCAAATATCCTGTAAATTGGTCAGAAAGTTTGTTTTGATGATTTCTAAGTCAAGTTCGAACATGAGTTATCTTGGATGAAAAACTAGGTCACACCGCCCAAATATGGAAAAACCTTGTTAACATTCTAGTGGTCACATTTTCGACTCAATTATCATCAAACTTGGTCAGGATGCTTGTCTAGGTAATTGCTCGGATGAGTTTGAAATCGCATGTAAAACTAGGTCACTGGAGCTAAAAATAGAAAAATCTTGTTAACACTCTAGTTGCTACTGTTTTGATCCAAGTATCCTGGAAATTGGTCTGAAAGTTTGTTTTGATGATTTCTAGGTAAAGTTTGAATATGGGTCACCTGGGTAAAAAACTAGGTCACACTGCTCAAATATATATAATCCTTGTTAACACTGTAGTGGTCACATTTTTGACTCACCTGTCATGAGACTTGGTCAGAATGCTTGTCTAGGTAATTGTTTGGATGAGTTTGATGGGTCAGGTGAGCGATCTAGGGCCATCATGGCCCTCTTGTTCTGCTACCTGACAGAAGATTTTGCCCAATGTTGTGAGAAAAGAAATGCACACATAGATGCACTTAAGTTCTCTCTCAAACAGTACTCTGGAAAGTTCTTATTTTGGAGGAAGGAAGTCTAGTACTGGTGTAACTCTCCAGGAACGATGGTTAGGAAACTACCCGCCTATATGACTGAAATACTGTTGGGAAAAGGCGTGAAATGAAACAAACAAACAAACAAGTTCTTATTTGATCTTGATAATAATCAATGTGACTTAAAACCTAATCAAAGTACACAAATTATTAACTCTTCTTTTTTTTCAGTTCAAAAATTAATTGTAAACATGTTATTGTTTGAAAGATTCTTTCCTCAAGGCTCAGATAGAAACATAGTACATAATAAATTTATGGTTGTCAACAGTTTACTCTATCATTGATTTCTTTCTTTTCCTTGTATCTGATTCAATAAGTTCACTTACAGTTGTATGGTAATTTACCCTAGTAATGGGAATAATAGATGATGGGTGAGAATAAATGACATTTCATCTTAAATAAAGCTATAATATGGTACTATTTTATGTTAATTGAAGACCACTACCTAGTACATTAAATATATTTTGATATTACAGAGATAGGCAGAGGCTATTGAGGAAGTGGCAGAAACAGTTTGGAAGACAACTGCAAGAAAATAGACAAAAGGTGATTAAATTTTCTCCCAAGTTCTTTTTAAAGTTACGGAAATATGTGACCTAGTAGCAAATGTTTGTTGTTGTTGTTTTTATCATTGACAGGAGACATTACAAAGATTGCTTGACAGTAAGATTTTCAGATACTACTTTAATGATTAAAGTGTTAACCATACATAGTTTACAGACATATCATGTTGTTGTGTGTCATAAATTTTTGTTTTGAAATGTCTCAGTCTTAAAATCTGTACAAGGAATTTATATAAATAAGAAGTCTAGATAAAATGAAAAATTCAATGTCATGCAATGTATAATTATATGAAAAATGCTGAAGTAAATGTGGTTGTTTTCACAGACTCCATTAAAACATCGTGATGCCTCCGTGCAAGTACGAGAGACATGGGGCGTTGTTGAAGAATTGGACTTCCCTCGTATGTCCAAGCTAACTCTTCCAGACATTTCAGAAGGGGAAGATCTGTAAGTCTTTAAATGCTTTATTTTAGTAAGAAATAACATGTTTTGATTATGTTATGACATAAATGTGCACATTTTCTATGTGATTAGTTGCAAAATACATGAATATAACAGTAGATCCATGACAAATGAACTTTTTTCTGACTAATATTTCTTGTATAGTACAAAAGATGATAGACTTTCATGAATTACTCATCCTTTTTTACAAGTTCAGCAAAACTCTAATTGGTTTAAAAAGTGTTGTCTTAAAGTTTAGCCACTAGGCTAAGTGCTTTTCATTTATGGCAATAAAATGAGTATTTCCATTGTTGGAGCTGTGCACTTATCTTTGCTGCAGTTGAATACTTCAGCCCGGCAAAACAAGGTGCTAACTATGAATAATTTGAACTTAATTATCCAATGAAATAAAGCATATATAAATGAGTATATCGGTGTACAGGTTAAAGTGCGGCAGCATGGAGTATTATGACAAGAGTTATGATCGTGTTTCTACAAAGAATGAACGTCCTTTGAAGAGAATAAATCGTATCTTCCACAAGGTCACCACAACAGATGACCCCATGATCAGACAGGTAATATATGCTTATTTAATGTTATTGATCATTCATTAATTAATGGATTTACTATCATGGATATTCTTTCCTTTACAGGGTCACCATTGCAGTATAAGATTGCTTAGTTCAAATTGCTTGGCCTGCATGTATGAAGCTGACAAATATAACTTCCACTGATAGTTTTGTATCCTGAATCTCATTGGAAAAAAAAATGTTGAGTTTTTCAATGAATTTTAAAAGCATTCATTTGTAGCTATTTTCATTTTGAACAACATCTGGGATGTTGTATCAGGGTTTCTTTTACTTTTAAAAATAATATTTGAAGAAGATAGTACTAAAGATATTCAGTTTCTTAGGTAATAAAGCTATTAATAATAATTAAAGATTGTAATCAATATTATTACATGTGGAAGTATATATTTCAGCTTGCCAAATCCACTGGTAACGTGTTTGCTACCGATGCTATCCTGGCAACACTGATGTGCTGTACGCGATCTGTGTACTCCTGGGACATCATTGTACAGAGGGTCGGGAAAAAACTTTTCTTTGACAAGCGTGACGATTCCGAGTTTGACCTGCTGACAGTCAGTGAGACTGCTATTGAACCTCCACAAGATGAGACAGGAAGTATAAACTCTCCAAGAAATCTGGCTCTAGAAGCTACGTTCATCAATCATAACTTTTCTCAACAGGTTTTGAAAATGGTAAGTTCTTCTTCACGTTTGAAATAGTAGTCCAATTGACTAGTACACATGCATTGTCTATTGATATTATAGTATACAGGAGCTGCTACTCCAGAACATTGTTGAGTTACCTGATCCAGCTAGGTTATGAAATGTCGTTGGTTCTACTTTGGTGTCCCTTTGTACCTGAAATAATGCACAGAGAGAAACCCTTGTTCTTCTTCAACTAAGAAGAACTGGAAAGTCGCTCATTGACCTTCACTGAGTTGTTGTGATGTACAACCCAACCAAAATAAGTTAACAGAATTTAAATGAGAATGGGGGGGGGCACAGCAACAAAATAAGAGTTAATATTTGAAGCAATTACTTTTGTATAAGCTGATTTGTTTTGACTGTATTAACAAAATACAATTATAATTATCAAATGTAATGTGTTTATTTAGGGAGAAGAAAAGCATGCATTTGAGAAGCCAAATCCATTTATACAGGAGGATGAAGAGAGTCAAGTAGCTTCAGTAGGATATAGGTAATTCTTATATAATTCTTCACTTATATAACGATGCCAGTTTAAGGTACAACTGTTTAAATTACTGTCAAGATTTTGACAAGTAGTATGTTTATATAGAGAATAGATAGCATTTCAGGGTTTTACATCTCTTTGAAATTTTAGGGGTCCAGTGGATGCACAGCCTAGAAAAGTAGGGGTCCAGGCCTGAATTTTAGGGGTCCAAAATTATTTTCACTATAAAAGACTATGAAGACCACTCTATTTTGCTTAAAATCATTTATTTACTATGCAAGAGATATGCATGTATATTGTACTGTTTTCATAAGAAGTATATGATTTCAATATCTTTTATCACTAGGTTTTTTTATAGCCCTTTAGTAGCCCTTTGTGCTATTTCCGAGGCTTATAAGTCTTTGAGTGGCTGGAATGTCAAGTTTTAGTAGCATATTTTGTTATTGATAAGGTGATTACACCAACAGACTGATAATTTGTACTGATCTATTTGTAAATATTTTAGCTGAACTAGTAAACACACAATATATAACTTTACAGACCAGTCAGCTAAATATGTTGCGTTTTAAAAAATATCATATGACAAAAGGCTGACGAAACCGCTTTTGCACCTCCTCATAAGCTGGCACATACTTGATGTCCCAGTCAAAAGTTAAGTTCGCCGAAACCATTATATTTATAACACCAATGATAATAACATACCCAGTGACGACTTAATTTCTATAACACTATGAAAATAAGTTTGCCAAAAAGCACTGCCTTTTTTATTATCGCCGTTCATGTACAAAATACATTCGCATCGACATTGGATACGCTTACCAATAGTAATTGCTTGTTATAAATAGTCCGTCTAAATATAGCAACAGAAAAACCAAAAACAGCTACCTAAAATAGATTTTACGGTAAACGTCATCAGTTACTGTAGCTTGCACGATAAACGTCATCAGTTTCTGCAGCGGGCACTTGCAAATAGCATGCGCAGTAGATTTCAATTATGTTAACTTCCGAAATAAACAATGCAAGCATTTTCTGCTCGCTGTATTAGATTTAAATGGAATTATGTGAGCTTTGAGAAGAAAGAGATAAAATCATGTCGGGCCATAAACAATAATATCTATTGTCTAGGATTATTTTTGTGCGTACACTTGGACGCAAGTGGATAACTTATATGCGTACATGTCAAAATTTATGCGTATAGGGACGCAAAATTCTGCGTCCCGTAAAACCCTGGCATTTGTCCAGAACATAGCATCTGTCCAGAAGCCTTCTTTGCTGAGTGGTTTAAGTCTCTGACCTTGAATGAGTTAGCCATCTTACCTTTGGGTTCAAATCTTGAAATGAACATTAATTACTTTAATGCAATCTGGCAAGGCAAGGGTACTAATGATCAATGGACTGTTTTATGCAGTTGCCCTCTAGTGCCTGACTGAATAATGGCATGGACTTGCAAATAATGTCATCACCCACTAGCAAGGCGAGCTAGACAGTCTCATGTGGAAGTGATCTTAACAGAAACACATGTATATGATATGAAAAAAGATGCTCAAATGAAATCTGTGAAATTTTAGATGTCTGAAAGTTAACAGTTGGTGATTTTCATAGAATAAATGCCGTAAGATACTTTACTTAGGGAGAACATGTATTAAAAAGGACCATTTGTTTATGACTAAGTATAACCAAGGTTTTCATTATGATTATTAGCAGATTGGCGATCCACATCATGGGTTGAAATGCTGTTAAAATTGATTATATTTTCGGCCTGTTGATTAAAATATTGCCCTTGACCTTTGGCCAAACCGGTTGTTTTGGTTAGCACATTTGTTGTCTCAAATGAAAATGATAACATTAAGACAAGAAACATGGCAATGCCACGAAACCAGGTTTTCAATTATCACCATTGTAGATAAATATGTTGTATTTGAAATACAAATACAAGCAACAAACAATGTAACTATGTGCAATGTAAACATGAATAATGTAGGAGGAATTGCCACAATAGAAGTATTCACTATATATTCTGTATAAGGAAAAAAACAAAGGGCCATAATTAGGTAAAAAATTATCCAATCACAAAACCCCGACAATGTGCATCAGGGCACTGGATGACAAAGCTTCTAAGAAAGTTTGAACAAAATCCGTTGAGAAATGTAGGAGTTCAGCACAGAAGAATTATATCACTATATATTCTGTATAAGGAAAAAAAATAATGGGCCATAATTATACCCCCGCACAACAAAGTTGTAAGGGGGGTATACTGGAATCAGCTTGTCCGTCCGGCCGTCCGGCGGTTTTTTTCTTGTCCGCCCAATAACTTAAGATTCCTTTGACCCTTAGTCTTCATATTTGGCATGGAGGTTAGTCATGATTAGTAGATGACCCCTATTGATTTTGAGGTCACGAGGTCAAAGGTCAAGGTTACAGGGGCCTTGACTTCAAAAAGCTTGTCCGCCCAATAACTTAAGATTCCTTTGACCTACAGTCGTCATATTTGGCATGGAGGTTAGTCATGATTAGTAGATGACCCCTATTGATTTTGAGGTCACTAGGTCAAAGGTCAAGGTCACAGGGGCCTTGACTTCAAAAAGCTTGTCCGCCCAATAACTTAAGATTCCTATGACCCATAGTCTTCATATTTGGCATGGAGGTTAGTCCTGATTATTAGATGACCCCTATTGACTTTGAGGTCACCAGGTCAAAGGTCACAGGGGCCTTGATTTCAAAAAGCTTGTCCGCCCAATAACTTAAGATTCCTATGACCCACAGTCTTCATATTTGGCATGGAGGCTAGTCATGATAAGTAGATGACCCCTATTGACTTTCAGGTCACCAGGTCAAAGGTCAAGGTCACAGGGACCTTGACTTCAAAAAGCTTGTCCGCCCAATAACTTAAGATTCCTTTGACCCACAGTCTTCATATTTGGCATGGAGATTAGTCATGATTAATAGATGACCCCTATTGACTTTGAGGTCACCCGGTCAAAGGTCACAGGGGCCTTGACTTCAAAAAGCTTGTCCGCCCAATAACTTAAGATTCCTTTGACCCACAGTCTTCATATTTGGCATGGAGGTTAGTCATGACTAATAGATGACCCCTATTGACTTTAAGGTTACCAGGTCAAAGGTCAAGGTCACAGGGGCCTTGACTTCAAAAAGCTTGTCCGCCCTATAACTTAAGATTCCTTTGACCCACAGTCTTCATATTTGGCATGGAGGTTAGTCATGATTTGTAGATGACCCATACTGATTTTGAGGTCACCAGATTAAAGGTCAAGGTCACAGGGACTTTGACATCAAAAAGTTTGTCTGCCCAATAACTTTAGATTCCTTTGACCCACAGTCTTCATATTTGGCATGGATGTTGATCATGACAATAAGGTGACCCCTATTGATTTTGAGGTCACTGGGTCAAAGGTCAAGGTCACAGGGACCTTGACAAAAAAAAAGCTTTTCTTCGCAATTGCTAAAGAATGTCCTGTCCGCAATGTATTGATTTTGACATTTTCACATTTGAAGCATGTAGAATACATAACTTAGCAATGTACTGGCTTAGTAACCTCAGATTTGGCAGGGAGGTTGTCCTTGAGCTCTAAATGGCCACTGTTGATTCTGACAAAGTGGTATGCGGGGGTATTCACGCCATGAAGTTGGCAGTTGTGGCAGTTCTAGTTAGGTCAAATATTATCCAATCACAAAACCCCGATAATGTGCACCAGGGCACTTGATAACAAAGCTTCTGTGAAAGTTTGGTCAAAATCCGTTGAGAAATGTAGGAGAAGTTGCGCATGGTAAAAATTGTTCACTATATAATCTGTATAAGGAAAAAAAACAAAGGGCCATAATTAGGTCAAATATTATACAATCACAAAACCCTGACAATATGCCCCAAGGCACTTGATGACAAAGCCTCTGTGAAAGTTTGGTCAAATTCCGTTGAGAAATGTAGGAGGAGTTGGGCACAGAAGAAATTGTTCACTATATATTCTATATAAGGAAAAAAAACAAAGGGCCATAATTAGGTCAAATATTATCCAATCACAAAACCCCGAACAATATGCGCCAAGGCACTTGAAGACAAAGCTTCTGTGAAAGTTTGGTCAAAATCCGTTGAGAAATGTAGGAGGAGTTGCGCACAGAAGAAATTGTTTATGCCCGCATGCCCGCCCGCCGACATACCTCAATCTAATAACCAGTTTTTTCCTTTGGAAAACCTGGTTAATGACACAACATGAACAAAATAGAAAAATCATCTTCTTTTGAATGATTTCTGTTTTGTGTTACCAGAATAAAATGAACAGAAAATAAATACATGTACATGATTATCGATTAATTAATGTTTACTGATTTGTTTTTTACTAGGTACAAGAAGTTTAGCCTGGGTAATGATATAGAGTTGATAGTAAGATGTGAACATGATGCTGTCATGTTTGGTGTTAGTGGAGAAAAACAATACATCAATATTAAAACACTCAATGAATGGGATCCTAGGGTAAGACTGACAAACATGTTCCTTGAATTTTTCATAAAAAAAACAGTGAATTTTAAATTTTTCATGGAATTAGTTCAGGCACAGGATGTGAACAAATTTGTATTTATAATAATTTAGATATATTTTAGCGGTGTTTGTTTATGATATAATTTTACAGAAATCTTTAAAAAAAAATTGTGTTAGCTCAACTGTTTTGTTTCAAGTTGAGACCCAGCCCTTGAGAAACTGTTTACAGCTTCATGGATCTATTATAGGTGTCTAAAAAGCTTAAAGACAGTTTTGTTCTTGTTTTAATTTGCGACTTACATGTGAGCATCCATTGTATATTTGTGTGTATTTTATGCTTAGTGGGGGTCCATCAGCCTTTTCATGCACTGAGAGTACGGACCTCTTCGTATATTTTTGTCTGCTAATACAAGTTATGGTCATTCCTATATTAAACTTGTAATTTTATTTCATTAACAGTGTAGTGGTGGTGTAGATTGGAGAAGTCGTTTAGATAATCAAAGAGGTGCTGTGCTTGCTACAGAGTTGAAAAACAACAGCTGTAAATTAGCTAAATGGACTGTCAGCTCCCTGCTAGCAGGATCTGATCATATAAAGTTTGGGTAAGTTATTGGTTTATGTTTTTAAGGGATTTTGTTTAAAAAAAAATTAATTGTTTCCAAAAAAAAAAAAAAAATGAAAACACGATCTTTGAGTTCTTGCAATAATGATTAAAGACTTTACATTAAGTATATCTGGCATTTTAAAGAAACATTCTAGAAAAAAGGAATGCTCCAAAAACAACAGCAAAATTTTTTTGTAAGAATAATATATTTATACTAACAATTATTACACATTCTTTTTGGGTAGTTCTCGCAATAATAATTAAAGTACATATATTTCGTAAGTTTATCTCGTGAAAAATCCAACAAAAATTCAAAAAAAAAGAAAAGAGAAAAAAAAAATTTTAAAAATAAATAATTCTTTTTGTAGGTATTATTTATACTGACAATTTTATCTTATGTTTGTAGATACGTCTCTCGAAATCATCTAAAGGATACCGCTAACCATGTTATACTGGGCACGCAGCAATTTAAACCTACGGAATTTGCTAACCAGATTAACTTAAACATGGACAATGCATGGGGAATCTTAAGGTGTATAATTGATATATGCTTTAAATTGAAAGAAGGGAAGTACCTCATCATGAAAGATCCTAATAAGGTGAGTGTTTTACTAGTGAATCTGTTTAATCAACATCGTTTGTATAATGAAACTGATCGGCTTTGATTCAGATCCATCCATTGTTATTTTCAATATCGAAATGTTGCTAGGACTGTTGCCAAGGAGACCAAAGACTCCTTGATGTTGAAAAATGAATCAAACAAATCAATTTGAGTTTCATCATGAATGACAACAATCAGATTATTTTTATGTGTGTGACATTAAGTTAGACTTCCTTCTCTAATACTTACTATGATGTTTATTATTATAAATTTTACCTTTCTGCTAGTATGTTTAGCAGAATGGACGAAATTTTGTTAAATGCCATTCTTGCACAGACTTTGATGACCGATTATTTAAACTACATCATAATTATTTTGTAGTCTGTTTTAATCAGGCTTTAATTACAGTCTGTGGTTTTAATGAATTAATGTGATGAAATTTTCTAATTTTGAAGCGATTTTAGTGGTTGTGAAATTAGATCAAACATTAAATATATATGGTATATATGGTAACGATTGAAAATAAAATGCAGAATGTGTTAAGATGATATGATTCCAGTCAATGGTTCGTATCTATGATATTCCTGACAATAATACATAGTAATTATTTTGTAGTCTGTTTTAATAGATAATAGTGAAGAAAGTTTTGCATTTTGAAGCGATTTTAGTAGTTGTAGTATTAGGTCAAACATTAAATGTTATGGTAAAGATGAAAGTAAAGATTGTGTTATGATGATATAATTTCAGCCAATGGTACGTATCTATGATATTCCTGACAATACATTTGAGACAGACGAGGAAGAAGATTCCAGTGAGGAAGAGAGCACTGAAGACTCGGATGAAGATGGTAAAATTCTTTTGATATATAATATACTAAAATTTATTATACAGTGATTTTTAGCTTCACTATTCGAAGTATAGGGAGAGCAATTGTACTCGACCATAATATTATATACAGTCGAAACTGTACTAAGGGTCACCTCTTTTTGACAGTCACCTGACCTAAACAACCCCGATGAAATTCACTCGATTTTATGCATCTGTGTTTATTATATTTAAAGCCAAAGTACCCAGCTGGCAAACTCTTACAGCCTTTTCTAAAATTTCACCATGCACCCCTATATTGAAAGAATAGAATTGCTTTTGTATATTAATCTTTAATATATATAAAATTTCAGATGATGAGAAGTGAAGAGTTTAGACAGTACCTGTTAAAGAATAGAGCTCCTTCAAATAAAATTCTTGGGAAAAAAACATTGAAGTGTATTGAATACAGTTTAGAAAACAACTGGTAACTGAATGAATTATGGGAAAAATATTTATTTACAAGTGCTTTGATTGACATTATATCTAATAGAATAATAAACATACTTTAACATCAGAGTTGTATTTGTAAATGCCTACATGCATGTTTTATTACCTCCCCACCACTTTTCGTCCGGCGGCGTCTGTCAGTCCGTAATCTTTTACTTTAAACAACATCTCCATCTCCTCATAAACCGCTAAGCCAATTTCATCCAAACTTCACAGGAATGTGCCTGTGGTGGTCACCTTTAAAAATTGTTCAAAGAATTCAATTCCATGCAAAAATGGTTGCCATGGCAACCAAAAGAATAAACTTCAAATATCTTTTAAGAAACGCAATGAGCTAGAGCTTAGATATTTGGCATGAAACATCTTCTAGTGAGTGTCTACCAAGTTTGTTCAAATAAAAGCCCTTGGATCAAAATTGGCACCGCCCCAGGGGGTCATTGATTTTCCTTGTATGCATGTAGTTAAAGCAAACAAAATATCTTAAAAAAACCAAATTAACAAGTATTCTGACTCGGGTGAGTGATTTAGGGCCATCATGGCCCTCTTCTTTATCTAGTGACATACTTTTAGTGAATAGCTTAAACCTTTGTATTGTAATAAGAAAAGACCATATTGATTCTCGGTACATAACACATTATAGGAAGTTCCAGACATCATTTGAAGGAATTTGCTTGTTCGATCGATCGATGGCTTATTAGTATCAAAGGGGGTGCTCTGTTGTCATTCGTCAACAATCGTCTTCTTCTCTGAAACTGCTGGACAGATTTACTTCAAATTTGGTCTGTAGCATCCTTGTGACAGTCACACTTGAATTTGCTCATGTCATTTCAATTGGCCTCTTTTAGGGGGTCAACAGAGCTAAAAATAGAAAAACCTTTAAACATCTTCTACTACAGAACTAATTGATGGATGATCACCAAACTGTGTCTGTAGCATGCTTGGGTAGTCTTTTATATTAATTTGATTGGCCCCTTTAAGCTAAAAATAGAAATACATTGTACCTTTAAACATCTACTAGTATTTCTACAGAACTTATTGATGGATGATGACCAAACTTTGTCTGTAGCATTCTTAGGAAGTCTTTTATCAAGTTTGCTCATATTAATTTGATTGGCCCCTTTTAGAGGTCTCTAGGGCTAAAAATAGAAAAACCTTTAAACGTCTTCTACTACAAAACTAATTGATGGATGATCACCAAACTTTGTAGCATTCTTGGGTAGTCTTTTATCAAGTTTACTCATATTAATTTGATTGGCTAAAGCTAAAAATAGAAATACTTTTAACCCATTACCCGATATACACGCCTTTTTCACCCCCCTTTGTTGTCTCAAATGGTTATAAAATGCCTTATTTAGGCCCCCAACACTTGTTTTTGTTTGAGAAATGTTGTTGAAAAAAGTGACCACTTTTTCGGCGCGGCCCCCAACCAAAAGATACATCAGGGGGTTGGGAGAAGGGGGATGTGCCCCCTTCTGTTTGGGGGGGGGGTTGAAGGGGAGCGGCAGTCCCCCTCATCGCCAAGAAAATTTTGGACTTGTGAGAGGCTAAAAATGACCCCAGATAGATCATAAGGTAACCTATAACCAACGCTGAAAAGCATTTGACTCTATCTCAATCCATTGAGAAGTTGCAGCACTGAAATCTGTTTTGAAGGAGAAAAAAAACGCAAAAGAGTGATTTTTAGCAATTTTGAGACGTCCCCCGTTGCCGCAGTAACAGGACATTCACAATTGAGCATGCTGTTACAAAGGCTATATGGTCTAGTCAAGATTTGTGCCAAGTTTGATCAGTATTGAAGCATTTTTATAGGGTTATAGCAGTTTGAACTTGTAACAGGAGGCTTTTCAATGAAAACAGCATATGCTCATGCGGTAAAAGGTTAATAAATTTATTTTGTAATATAGGGTTAACTGGTTAACAACTTAAAATCAATAGAAACACGCTTTTTTTCAAATAATAATATAAAAAAAAATGTTATCGTCCCTTTTGTTTGACTAAAAGTAAAGTACCAATTATTTATCACATTTTTCATAATCGGACTACAGATCTAATTTATTGCGTTCATTGAACGCCGCCTTTCCTTGTTGATCATGTTTATCATATTTTAAACTCCATGCACTGTCGAAGTTACTGTAAATATGCCAATGTAACGATATAGAATACTAGTAGATGTAAAAAGTACATCGTAAGATTATTTTTGATTTAGCTATATGCGGTCAGCTTATTGTTATAATTCTCGTTGTTTCACACTTTTTCATTTGATTGATCGATAGGATTGCTTGATCGATCGATTGGTTTGTTTTTAGATTGATTATTTGATTAATCTATGAATTGATACAGTTCTAAATCTGCATTACAACCATTTATTACAATACGTGTATGTGAAGAGTCATTCTTCGATTTTTCTGTTTTATTTAGACTTAGTCTGTTCTATTTTAACATTTTAAATCTGACACAGGACAAAAAAAAACAAAACAAAAAAACCTTACGATTAGTTAGATGTGATTGTTTTTCTATACATGTAAGTACGTCCTTGTGTTCCGTCTTATTTCCCTTATAACTCTTCAAATACACAGGATGTAATTAGATGGCAAAGTTCAGCAATGAAGTGGCATCTCTTGTTCGCCAGTCACATTAGAGTATACACTCCCATCATGAAAATTGTTTTCTAACTTAACGTTTTATTACGGTAATTGTTAAGGATAGAGAATGGCAGGAATATTCCGACTTGGTATCCTTTTCGGATATATCTGTGTGTGTCTTTCGTCTAAGAAAAGACTGGACTTTCTTGAACTGCGAGTTAGTAGATTAGAAGTCAGTGCTAGATCAGATATTCTAGAGCTAGGAGGGCTAATTGATGAAATCAATGAGACGGTTTCAGCAGCAGGTGTTGGTAGCAGTGGACCTGTAAATAATCCTCAAATAGAGATAAAACTGAACGCACTAGATGCAAAACTTGAACAATTTATGCAGGAGCAGCGAGAGAAAAGTGTGGCTTTATCGAAAGCAATAACAGAAGAAAAGACGATGACGAGAAAAATGCTGAAAATAATGAAACAGTTGGCTGACAGTAATGCCGAGTCTGTTCTAGAAATCGAAGAAACGCTGGAACAAAATGAGATTGAAAGGGACAAGTTTAGGACAGACTGGAAAATGTTCGAGGAGGGTATGATGAGTGAATTTAATGAATTGAGCGAGCAAACAAAACTGTTAAACGACAAACTTGAAAATTTCGACGGCAATATTGTTATACATGGCTCAGAAAGACAAGACGCTTGCCCAAAGGACTGGCAGCGAGAAGGAGACAATTGTTACCTGTTTGAGAAAGATGAAAAGTTGAGCTGGTATGGAGCAAGAATCAGATGTGATGATTTTGGCGGGAAACTGACAGAACCCGACACTGACAAGGAAATGACGTATATAATGACGAACGTACATGCCGACAACGTTTGGATTGGAGCTACTGATGATGGCCACGAAGGAAAATGGGTGTGGGCAAGTTCGCAAGACTTAGTCAGTTCAAACCTAAATTGGCAGTCTGGCCAGCCGAATAATCTTTACGAAAATCAGCACTGCATGGAAATTGGACTATTGGCAATGAACGACGAGTCGTGCTTACAGGATAACTATTACATTTGTGAAAAGGCGGCAGTGGTCCAATAACAATATCTTTACATTCTGTTCGGCGTATGGACCTTTAGATGTGTAAATATGTACTTTTCAAAAAAAATAAATGTTGTTTACTTTTCGAACAATATATGTTTTTGTTTACTTTTCGAACATTATATGTTTTTGTTTACTTTTCGAACATTATATGTTTTGCAATGCGCATGTGTCTTTTACTGACAAATAAAATAAGAAAAAAAAGCATTTAAGATTATTTTAAATTTGCACAAATGCTTAATATAATTTGTTTTGAAAATACATTATAATATGAGCCTGACGTTGTTGACTTTGACCTTTGTTTTAAATAATGTTACCATTCAGTGTTCCTTCAAACCTTTTTGAAAAGTTTAAAACTGCTTTACCACCCTGTTAAAATGCGATTTAAAGATGTTAAAATGTTATTTAGAGGTTAAAATGCCATTTAAAGATGTTAAAATGTCATTTAAAGGTTAAAATGTGATTAAAAGAGGTTAAAATATTTTTTTAAAGAGGTAACGATGTGATTTAAAGACGTTGAAATGTCATTTTAAGAGGTTAAATGTCATTTAAAGATGTGAAAATGTCATTTAAAAAGGTTAAAATGTCATTTAAAGAGGTAAAATGTCATTTAAAGAGGTTGAAATGTGATTTTGAGAGGATGGATAACAGCCCATTGATTTTTTTTGGGGGGTGGGGGGGGGGGTTGAGATAACAATTAATGATATATTACACTTGAAATCAATTGGAATATGAATTTTTCCTGAAGTGGAGCAAGTAACATGTATGATAGATTACTTTTTTATATTAATTTGAATAAGGCGATAAACAAAGGTGCTCGGCTTGTTGATTGGTCACCAACCCCTTCCCCTTACCCACACTTCAACCCTCTTACCCCAAAAAATGATACATATAATTATATACATGTTTTTAGTAAAGTACTAAATATATATCTATCACTTTTGATTTTGGATTGAAATAAAAGCACATAGCAATTATTAAATTAAACAAATTTCAAATGAAAAATACATCAGTTTACAGTGTTTGGGAGAGGTAGGAGGATTGAAGATGGGGGATGGTAGTGACCAATCAACGCGCCAAACACCTGTGGCGAGAAAAAGGAATGGTTGCATGTATATTATTCTTTTGGTGGGACATACAGTGAGAAAGGACGGGTAACATCATGTTACTAACATGTATGATATAATTCGAATTTGAGTATTTTGATTAAGGGTACATGTATACGGTGAAATATTACTAAAAAAGAAATTATAATTGAGTGGTTCGTTACTTTTTGAACGCATTTAGATTCGGATATTTTGGTGACTAACAATGTATTGTATGTAACTCTTTTTGATAAGATAACGGGTATTTGGTGGGACAAGGTGGCTGACATTTTTGCGGAATAACTCTGTGATATCAGTCTAATTTAAAGTACATTGTAGAACAGTTAAATAAGTATGATAATCCGGTATAACTGTTGTGATATCAATAACGGTATAAATTTCAATGGTATACCGGTATAACTCCTGCGATAGCAATACCGGTATAAATTTAAGTACAACAGTATGGTATACCGATATAATTTCTATGATATCAATCTAATTTAAAGTACATGTACTTGGTGCAACAATGTACATGTATTACATTGGTATATGTGTGTGTGTGTAATATAAACCTGATTTATGATTGTCATATATCACTCTTGTTCTTTATATAATTTATACGAGTACATTACGAGATTTATTAAGATTAAATACGGTATAAATGTGTAGACAATATCGACTTTATTTTAATTGTCGCAAAAGTTATCAACTTTACGACACATGCTCGTGTTGAACATCGTCCTTTTGGATCAAGATTTATTGAAACAAAGTGGCGTTCAGATAAAACATTCTTTTTATACGATACATGTAAATAAAAAGAAAAATGTTTAAAACTTTAAATACGTCCTTGAAAATCCACTCCAAAATAATCCAAACAAAACATAAATTAGGGGATGTAAGTAGAATCAGTGGTCATAATAATTCAGGCTGACATGTGTGTGCTTTATAAAAAGAAATATGCTGTAGATTAGATTGACAAATTGGATTAATATGTCAATAATCAATCTTTTATTGGAGATAAAGCCGAAAGTAAGAGTACAGATCAATTCTCTTGTAGTTCTTTTGTACACATGTACAGACAATTTGTATACCACACCGCGTCTCAATTTTGTATAAAGTCTCTATTTGATTTTCTCAGTGTATCCTACATAAAGATTTTTCTCGTTGAAAAAAGACATAAAAAGAATTTAATTAAAATGAGAAAAATCCCTGTTATTATCCACGTAACAGTGTGTTATGGAAGAAAAGCAAGATTTAAACAATATTGTAAATGTTATTTTTGATATGGTTTAAATGAATATCTTAAGTAAAGAGATATTGTCCCGATCGGGGGGAACCCACGTTCTGTTGTAACAATTATTCGTGTACATTGTACAGTTTTAATCTTTCATTATAATGCATTCATCGGCGGATTTCAGTACACTTTCAATTACAAATACTTAAGACGTAATAAATCTCCGATTTAAACTGTACATTTGAGTACAAGGAACACTCGATGTATAATTTATTTGCAATTTCGAGATTTTCGCATACAGCAATGATAATGAGGCGCAATTACGATGCTTTTTTCTGATAAGCAATTTCCAATTCGGGATTACGTAAACTGGACATGTATCAAATTATCCTGATATAGCACGTGTATATAACAGTGTTCTAATTTCAGTTTAGTTATCGCCGGCGGATTTTGTGAGAGGAAAATCATCACGTCGAAACTGGAGCCACAACATTCGTTAAATAATTAATGGAAAAAATAGGAACGATAAATGATATATGAGTAAAATAATAAATAAAAAAAAAGAACTGGAGTTTAATAATAAATGACAAAAAAGTGAGTTGAAATATTAATGATAAACTTGGGTTTTAATGAATGACAAAATATATTTCGGACAAAAAACTAATTAAAGATGTATGATTTAAAGTTTCATGTAGATAATGACTGGAACAAAGTGTAGGCACCACGCTTGAGTGTATCTAATTAATGAAGATGAGATTTCGAGGATGGTTCTCAATCGATTCCTTCAACAAGACAGTTAGTTGTACTCTCCAATAAGTCAATTATCGGAATCGCTGTGATAGCAGATTTACATTTCTGTAACCAATTAAATTGTTTATTTGCTAACAGAGGTATACTTTCAATTACATTGAATAATTGATACAGAATCAGAGAAAAACACGAATACAAGCGTTATCTTTAAATACACTTGATTGGAATACGTGAAAACCGTTCTAAAACTGCAACTGTTGATAATTGAGAGTGTTAAATGGATTGCCTGATGGAGTTAAGAATTGCCGGAAATAATTATATTCCACAATTGTGCATGTTAATGTAGGAATAGATTTGCGATCGATATGTGCATTTAAATACATTTCCTTGTCTCTGTCTTATATGACGGGTGTACCGGACGGCTTCTGCCAAGGTGAACGGAGCTTAAGATTACTGTTAGACTTTGGTTTATAAGATTAAATTGGATTTACGTGATTAACAGCGGAGGACGACCTTTTTAATGAGCTGTCGCAGAGAACGTATTCCCTGAATTAATCATAGCGTTTGAGAATCATGAACTGTTTAAAGTTATAAAAGAAAAAAAAGGCGTTGACGCCAAGAGTAGCTTTAAAGTTATATATGGACTTATAGAAAACCAATTTTTAGTTATACACATTGCTTATTCTGTGAAAAATATTGGACAGTTCTACCTTTTAAAATGTCATTCCAAAAACATCGGTATAGAAATTGTATCTTTGAAGACGGCGATTTATTGAGGGAAAATATAAACAAGTGAAACAATGTTTATCTCAAGTGCTGTACAAATTACCGATTGTTTTGAACACTTAAACAAGTCACTAGAATAATATTTGCTTGATTATGAAAGTAAGTGCTATGAATTCCGATCAATATAAAATTTCAATCGAGGCCCACCCACTTCAAGCTCTTTATTCAAAATATAACGAAGCAGACGATGATATACAATATCAGTCAGTGCGCCCTCTCGGGAAGATTCGTCAGGTGGGAAGACCTTCCTCCGATTATCACACTTGTCGGACCGCAAAGGGGACCTGGAATGGTGAAAAGGCCCTGGATGGAAAGAAAGACATGAAACTGGATTCTAGATTGTATTCTGGACGGATGAAATGCAGCAGTGATCAGAATATAGCTGCAAGCGGCGCTCGTGAGAAGGATGTTAGCGTTTTACCAACCCTGAGGAGATCAAAAACTCAAGCGTTTGAGGAGAAATTCAAAATTGCCGCATCGAGGCAAAGTGCTGATTCACCGTCTCCACAGTTACGACAGAATAAAAACTATGATAAAAAGGTTGTTCACTTGCCTCTCTTTAAAATAAACTTAAGAACGTACGTAGGAGAGGAAGAGGTTTCTAGAACTGTTGCAAAAACACGAGAATCTCTGCGGAAACTGATGGATTTAAATAAAGCAAAGATGAGAAACGCCAATGTTATAACTGCTAACATTAAAAACTATGAATTCAATGCGCCGAGATCGAACTCGACTCTAGCCAGAGAGCACACTATGGAAACAGCACGGACACTTGTTTCACTTCCATTTCACGCAAAACCCGCTCTAAGAGCATCACGTGATTCATCGCGAGATCGGGATCTAAAAGTTAGACAATATTCACAATATTCACGTTCTAACACCTTGATGAAATTCGGTGCATCTGAAATAAGTAGCAATATTGAGGCTAGATATAGAATCACGTCAGGAAAACAGACGCCAGATAATGTGAACGCTTCCAAGCGACTTGTTTCGGATAATGTCGGGCCGGATGACGAACCGGACAGCTCAATGGTATCACTTGCTATTCGACCCGACACGTCACTGACTTTAGGGACAACTATGCATCAAATTGATCGTGTGATTAAAACACCAACCTCGGACGAATTAAGAGAAATAGCGGAAGCATTTAAAAGCAGTGACACGCCAAGTGGTTGGCCTAACACTGATGACATTCAGTCTCTTTTAGCACGGAATCAATCTAGAACGACTAAATCCCGGACTCCGTTTTCCAGACCTTCAACCGTGTTAAATATTGTCCCAGAGGTTCAAGATGAAAATAGGAATAGTAAACAAAATTATTTTTGTACTTCACCTCATGAACATGGACATAAACACAGTCCTGTGCTGCGATATACTTCCAAACAATCAACTTATAAACTAGAACCTATTATAGTGCCGTCCCATACTTGTACGGAATGTCCAATGTGCAGCAGCTCCCAGAGGGAGGTAGAAACGCCGTGTCCACCGAATACGCCCAATACTCAGTTCATGTATGATCCCAACAATTCTCAAGCAAATCGCTACGAGTCGGACCAACCGCAAGTAAGCCGGACAATGAACGGGCTCAGCACACCTCAAGCAAACCGGACTGTATACGAGACCGATACTCCTCAAGCAAGTCGGTACGTGTACGAGCCGGATTTACCTCAAAGAAGCCGGACAATGTACGTGTCAGACATGCCCCGATACAAGCACGATGTTGACTTAAACCAGAGAAGTCGTTTCATTCACGAAGCGGACCCGCGCCAGAAAAATCGCTTAATATATGGAGTAGAAAACCACTCACCTATCGTACAGGGGTCAAAACTGAACAGCGTGCATAGTAAGCCGGAAGTGCTCAGAGTTTCAAGGATCAATATGAATGGATATACCTCACCTGAGGATGACTCTAATAAGATTTCGTTCATGAAAACATTCTAAAGTGTTGGTAAGACCTTGAAGAGTACTATTGTTTAATAAATAGTGATATATACAATGTAATGAAATTACTATTACTCATAGTACCAGTACATAATACATAATTCGATTGCGCTCATTGCGCATGAGCAGTTAGAATTTAAAGGACACAGTGATTATATTTAGTGGCGCTCAAAGCGCGCTCTATTTTATCGTTCTAATATTTAAGGTTGTACTATTTTTTTATTCATCTCTTGACTGAGAAAATTAATACCATCTTAAGATTCTTCGACCAGTGTGTTTTTGTTGGTCAAAATATTTAAATTTATATCTGCAAACTTTTATATCTATCTTTCAAAAGGCAAACTTTGATAAGATCAGGGCATGTTTTGTACGTCTCTGATAAGATATATATATACCTTAGGTACATTTTACTTATTGAACAAACCTGGGACATAACAGTTTAGTTAAATTTAGCAATTTTCATTGCATTTATTCTTTATATATTTACATGAAAAGTTACACGAACAAATCAAAAACAAATATTCACAAACATAGTGCAAATGGGTCGGGCTACAAGTTGTAACACTATTAGGACAGCCCTCCCCACAGCGTCTATGTTTTATACATGTATATCATATTTATTCGGGTACTTTTTATACAAAACAAAATTAACTACTGTCCTAGAACAAACTAGATGATGACACAGTAATTAAGGTTAAGTAGTCAAAGTAGTCCTTTCGCGGGTCTTTTTACTAATGTCTTTGATGTAGATAAATTTCATGTATGATTTATTAGTTAACAATGTTCACTTATTATGTCATTTTTTATTATTTTAAATTCATCATGAATTAAACTTATACCGTAATGTATTATATAGTTTCTAAATGCTTCAAACTTTGCAATACTAATAACTTAAATTTCACTGTTACGATATATAATGTATGTGCAACTTGCAATTGTATGGAATTTTAAAATGCGGGTGTAACCTGAAATCAAGAAATTCAATTTGAATAAAATAATAACATGTATCTTCACTTTTGTTTTAAAATGAAATTTCATACCCAATTTAATGTAGATTATATTTACAAAAGCAACCATTATAAGCTTATGTTCAGTTTTCTTTCTGGTCACTTATGGTACATCCTAACCTCTTTCGGGACGCCACTTTTCTACAACGACCGCTTTCATCCTTTTACTTCATACTGGTATTTAATAATGACAGGTTTTACCTTAACTGTCATTTCCCTACAAACTAATAGGTTTTTAGACACATTTGAGTGTCCCTAATCGTTATAGGGTAAACATGTCATCTTCCTGTGCTCGCAATAAATGATACAAACTGAATTAAATAAGCTTGTAATAAATCATAAAGTGGTCGGAAGTAACAGGTGCTTATGCTCAAAATAAACAAATGCATATGGTGTTTGTTTTGTATAAACATAGTTAAGGGAAGACACGTATATATAGATCTAGATATAAAGATTTTTGACAGGTTATATGGTCCAACATAAACGGTTGTTTGGAACTATAACCTAAGTCGCTAGGGTGAGGTTATAATGCAAACAACCGTTTATATACGACTATATAAAGAGTTATCTATAACGAATTTATTATACAGCAAACATCTTTTTTTGTAAAGAAAAAAGTGAGATTTCTTCATAAATTTACAAAACTATATAACCGTCATGATTTTCCAATGAAAAGCGACGTAATAAACGTGTAGTAATAAATTTGTTGATAGTATCGGTCTTTTATTAAGTTGTGCGTGCATGTTTTTCAACCGCAATGGCAGTCGAATACGATGGCGTCATAATATACAATACATGTAAAAAGTTCTGTGTAATCCAATAGCCATGATTTTTTGGGAGTAATACGTGTACCATATTCCTAACAGTGATCATATAGAAATTTTCATGTAAATGCTCATGTATGCTAATTGGTTGTGGTTACAAAAAAATCACGGCATTTCGAGAATCATTGAGCAGAAATTTATCAGTTTTAAAGCTGCACGCCTCCAGATGAGCAAAAAAATATTTCGATAAAAGCAAACCTGAGAAAAATGTACTAAGATTTTAGGAAAGGTATATAGATTCTAAATTCTAGTAAAAATTTATATGTTATATGCGATTAATGACCGAATTTTTCAGTATGTATAACTATATTTCTACTGCGTTACTATCATACTTTGCATATTTTGACCTCTTTATAGTAATTTACATAGGTTGTAAGTGCCATTGATAATGTGTAAATTGTATTCTTTGATAACTTTACAATATTATACTGTTAAATACATTTTGAAATTTTCATGAAAATCAGCATGAATCTGGAGGTGTGCTGCTTTAATATACAATTTCAATATTTATAAAGTACATCGGAATTGTATTGTAAGATTAGGTTTAACGTCCTAGACGAAAACAATGTAATTAATCATATTTTATAATCATTGACAAAATTTAAAAAGAAATGTCATTTAAATATTTTCATACATTGAAAAATGAAGATTATTTGTTATTTCTTAATGTATTTTCCAAAAATATTTTAGATATAATTATGTTGTTTTTAGAGACAATGTTTATTTTCTGTTTAATGACTTAAAATGCTTAAAGAAAATGATTGAAGATCATCAATTTGATGGAAAAAATATCCTACAAAATTGTTGCGTGCACTAAAACTGCGTAATTTGTCTGTAAACAACGGAAAAAGACGATTACAATAAAGCGAAATGGTTATAAATTACCGAAAAAAAGAAAGTGATCACGTTTTGTCAATCACATGATATAAACAATATTACGGGAATTGATATTGATTGTTTTCGAAGTGGAGAAATTTCATTAAATTCAAAGAAAATCGCAAAAATATTCACAGGCGTAATTCATTGATACATTGACAGGCAAAACATCCGAATGTGAAAAATTATTCTTAACACGTGGTTTTGATGTAAGAGAGCAG